ATGTAAAAACAGTTTTTCAACACTTATACATTATTTCATGATTTATTATGAATATGAAATATTTACAATATTTTATAATGATACGATATTTTAGCAAATATGAATTAAACTAAGTAGAACATATTGTCAGATTTTACAAAATTTATTTCGAGAATAGATTCAGTCTGCAGCCTAGATAAAACCTTTCTTATTAGAATAAAACTATATTGAACTACGTATATATCGTAGTGGATAAAATTTGTGCTAATAGTGAATTTTAAAAAAATCAGTTAAATTAATGGGCCTATAAAATCGAAAATATACAGAGTCACCTTGTAAATCCAGTTGGTTAAAATTTCGAAGTATATTAAAATGTTTAATTCTGTTGTATATTTAATATACATATATATGTAAATTTGATTATATTGGTTATTTTTAAGTAAATCTGTAAAAATTTAGTAAATAAATGGTAAATAAATGATTTATATCAAAAATATATGTATGAAGGATGTACAAACTTAAAGCAACTTTTCTTCTTATTTTATAATTTTATTTAAGATACATACTCCATATTTGTGTATTATAAATATTTAAAAAGATAAGGCACACAACCAGATATTTAAATCGTTCTGCATATGTGGTCTGCTTAGAAGCAAAAACTTACTTTACATAATTTATGTCTAAATTTTATTATTTGGCTTTGCCCAAGACATCTCTTCGAGCATTAAAACGAAGTGTGCTGAGTGTGAATTGCCACTCGAATTCTTAAAAAATCGGTGAACCAATAGCTTAGCTTCATCAATTGAGTGGGTGAAATGCATTAATTATAAACAATGCGACAATAACAAACCAACAACAAATCATGCAAAATGAAGACACAACAAAATGACAAACACAATCCTTGAGCTGAGCGCAAGGATAACCCAAACAAGGCACAACAAAATGTCATAAACGTGCTACAAGCAGCAGAGCAGCAAATTTTTAACAAGAATTAAAAAAAAAACCAAAAAAAAATTGTCAACTGGAGGAATCAAGGGCAAAATACAGTTTTGCACGCTTATCAAAGGGGAAAGTGGCTTGATGACAGAAAACACAGTAGGAGAAAATCTCACATAAGACAAAAGCGTTGGGATTTATTTAGCTGAATGTGCGTGTATTTGTTTATTGTGCATATAAAAACAAAACAAAACAAACTAAAATAAAAGCGAATAATAAATAAAAATAAAATGAGTGAATATATTTTAACAGCTTTTAGGCGAGCAACTTGAAGCGAACAGTTAATAAAATTACTAACTTTGCGTATATAAGCGAATGTGTATATGTGCGTGTTTGTTTATTTTTTGTAGTGTAAAGAATAAAAGAATTAAATAGTCTAAAAGTAGCGTATAAAATCAAATAAAACAAGTTAACATGTAAAAATAAGACCTTTAAAATAATTTTCCCAAAAATTACCGTCAAAGTTTGTAATTTGATAAAGCCTCTCGAAAGACCCCTTATCAGCACGGGCAACGGAAAATGGGCATTTTCAAGGGTAAAATTGTAAGTTTGCCTTTAAAGCGTCTCTGCTGCGTTCAAAAGTTTGTTTATTTTTATTATTCGCTTTTGATGTTTTTTGTTTTTTGTTCTTTTTTTTTGCTTTTACGTTTTTCACAGTGTTTTGTGCTTATTACTGTTTTTAATTTATTTTGTATATGTTTTTGCTTTTACTTTTTTGTTTTTATTTTGATTAAAGTCTAACACTTTATAATTTGTTATTGTTTTTCTTAGCGATGTAGCGATTGTAACAAAACTTACACACACAAATAATGACCAGTGCACTTGAAATTGCTAATAACCACATTAGAGACAATTAAGCGATATTTTATTTAAACAAAAAAAAATATTATCTTTTAAAATTAATACATCTATGTCTTACTTTTTTTATATCTACATTTAACAAATCATTTTTAGTAAAGTTTTTTTGATTATGCAAAATTTTTTATTTCACCCGGCGGAAAATTTGCAATCTCCACTTGGAATCCGGCACAACAATGTTAGTCAACGATTACTTTTGCACTGAACTCACGGCCATTTGTGTTGATTGCGTTGCTCTCCCGAAATAGGGGCACGTTCAATTTGTTTTTGTTTAATGTATTTGTTGCACGCGCTATTTACAAAAACAAAACACTTGTTTTAAGTTTTCGTATTTTTTAATTCCAACAAGCTGCTTTGCTCTACTTGGCATTGGCGCCATACAACGACTGATTGTCAGAAAAATTATATTTTCATATTCGTGTACAATATTTACACGTATAGCAATTGAATTTCATCCAGCACTCGCTCTCTTTCTCTCTTTTTCTACTACATTTATTAGCTTAATAATATGTTTTCCGCTCTTTATGTTTGACTTGGCATAACGACATGCTCCAAAATTATTGTTGTTGTTTCTACATGTAAGACACTTGTTACAGTTTCATGGGAGGGTTGATATGAGCATGTTAAATAGCAACAGTAAAAAACATTCCCAGTACAAAGACGTGGAGCACTTTGCTTACCCCGCAGTTAAGGAGTAATATTAACTGATTCTTGTACATTGTACAGTATAACAAATTTTTCAAAATTCATGCAAAAATTATGATGTGAAAATTTATTAGCTAATAATAAAATAATTTTAATGGGTTTCAGAAATAATTAGAAGTTGGCTTTAGTTGCAGTCTGTCAAAAATGTATGTATATTTTTGAATCACTAGACAAGTTAAAAATTCGATTTAGAAGATATGCAAATAAGAAAATTAATTGATCATATTATGTATCAAATAACAGCTCCAAACAGCTCCAAACAGCTCCAAACAGCTCTTTCAATCATCGACACGTGTTGTTTTTGGTCAACTGTCAGCAAACATGACACCCACTTCGATAAGAGACTTTTCATAGACAATTACTTGTGCAAACTTAAGCCGATCTTCTGTAGCTCTACTTTACGATCTGCCGAAACGATTTTATGGACTTTTTTGATGTTTTCCGGTGTCACCACCTCTTTCGGACGACCACGATGTTCGGTATTATCAAATTTTGTACGACCGCGTTTAAAGTCACATCTCTACCATTTATTTTGATGGAATAGAGTCTGAGTAGCACTTAACAAGTCAAGCTTTTATTGTCACGGTATTTTTTCTCTTTAAAAACCAATGATAACTCGCCCCACTCCAACAACTGAAATTTGAAAATATTCAATATCAATTAGAAGTTTTCACTTTTAGGTTTTTCATTTGCCATCATAAATTGGCTGTAAATAGTCTTACCATAACTATTTATTTTTAAATGTCTTGTTTAATATGAACTCCAGCTGATTGGAATATAGCTAACTATCATGTCGAAAACTGATACTGACAACAACTGATCTGGGAAGTCGTGTTAAACAAAATATAAATGAAAACAAGCTTTTAATATAAATAGAATTTTTGAACAACTAAAAATGAGAACGTTCAAATTAATTTCAAAACTTAAATGTAATTAAACGCCTAATATGGATTATCATTACACAATTCAGAATTCCGCATAGTTTGTACAAAATTGTTTATTTTGCGTAAATAAAATATAATGCATTTGAATTAGTAAATAAATTTATGGAAATGACTGAAATCATTGAAATAAAATTTTATGTTTTATAAATTTACTGTTTTTGTTTAAGAAAATTATTTGAATTATAAACTTTAATTAAAAATTGTCTGTTCAAGTTTCAGTAACTACTTGTGTATTATTAAAGTTAAATAATGTAGATTAAGACAAAATTCCTTGAACTACAGCTGCTAGGCATATTTACTTACAATTAATAAATGTATGATATTTAATCAAAATTAATTAAGTAATTAATTAAAAGTTCAATTAAATTTTTGCAAGCTTATCGAGCAGATTAAAGCGTTAAATTGTTAATAGACAGTAGTACCTTTTGCATCTTAATTTTAAAACACTGAATTTGTAAGAATATAGTTTGTAAAATTTTATTGTTTAAATCACGAATTTACATTCACTAATTTTATGCCATGCGATATACTTGTAAAAACATTTTTAATTAAGATTTGTGATTAAAGAAATTAGAATTAAAGAACTTTTTTATCATAAGAAAAATATTGTAATAATGTAATAATTCGATATTGTTATTTGTTCCACTGTGCAATTAGGTTTTGATATGATATGCCGCCTAATTTTTTATTTTAAAAACAAGAAGAGCAGGAAACAATGAGCGCATGTCCAGGTATGCCCATGGAGCAAAATATGACTTTCAATGGGAAACATAACTGAATGCCTAAGTTTAGGGGGATAATGTGGCGTCTAGAGAGATAATTTGTTTATGAATTTTATGTTCTCTACAAGTGAGAAATCTAACGCATGGTTTTAGCTTTCAATCAAATGTTTCACAAACAAACAAAACTTAAAAAAAGTTTGCTTTCAGTACAGGAACTGTTTGGAAAAGAAACATAGCGGGTGAAACACAAAAGCTGTTCAAATTGAATTTTAACATTTAGACCGTGTGCGAGTTCGAGTAGATTGAGGTAAAGTAAATTGAAATTTCCTAGGGATTTTTTGCGCGGCACTTATGTAAATATTTATTTATTTATTTATTGCACTTATTTATTATTTATTAAATATCTTATAAAATTTTCACAATAGTAACTCCTAATTTATCTAATTTTTATCTAATTTACCCTACTCAAAACTCTAGTCAATATCAACATTCGCTGCCATACCGACCTAATTTACCATTTTCCTCAATTTACCATCAATTTACTCGAACTCGAACTCGAACACGGCCTTAAATTTAAACCAAAAAAATATAAAACCAAAAATAAAAAAATGACTTTTTTTAGTAAGTCGATATTAAGATAATATTTAAAACACGAAAAATTTTAAAAAATTGTTAAAATTAATTAATTTATAAAAATAATTACAACAACATAAAATATTACAAGAAATATATATATATTTATTTAATATAAATTCAAAAATAATATCAATTCTGTATATTATGGAAAAATATTTGTTTATTTGGCAATATCGGCCTCAGTTATAAGTTCAGTTTGTTCTCCTTCCAATGGTTGTTCAACAAGTTCCACTTGATTATCTCTTCTAACTTGACCATCGCATATAACTATGGTATCACGATCTAAAAGTGGGCGTGGTGTTATTGGTAAATACGTATTGCAATATGTGCGAATGGCATCACATTCTCCAACTCTGCTTATCAGCACAAACACACAATATTGTATAATATCCTTGGGTGTGTTATCGATATATTGAAAAGCTATATTCACCTCCTCGGCATTCTCATATAAGATACGATTACCATGTACACTGTTGAAAAGAATTTATCATAACATATACCATATATGATCTTTATAAGAATTTCAATACTTAGTTGGCGTTCCAGTTATCTTACGTTCGACCTCTTCATTCTTGCTTAGGGCATAAAGAAGTTTCTCATTAGCTTCTTCAGGTGAAAGCTGTGAAAAAGATACGTTGACAGCTATTAAAAGGTTTTCATTTAATAAAAATATGTAAAAATAATATAAAATCAATATTCTTAATATTATGTTAATTATTCTTAGAGCTTAATATATTTTATAATCTTGTGAGAATTCTCTCTCTATCTCTGAGTTTGATTTAATATTTTTGAACAGATATAAGAGAGACAATAGTAATGGACCCAGATTTTATATATCGTGGCATACCGAAGCAAAGTAATCTGTTCTTATATATTATCTAATCTGTTAGCATAATTAAAATGCGCGACCACCTTCCTTTAGAATTGACATCCTTAACGGAGAGAACTTATATTGTACTGGATTGTTTTTGCAAATGGTGTTTGGTTGGTTGCAGTGGCAGGTCATAAGATAAGATGTACCGCAATTAGCGATTTTTCGCCGTTTTGTTACCACATTCCTCGCAAGAACCCTAGTATAGAAGAGTAGAGACTAAATCCATCCCACTGAATTTAGGTAATTTAATAGGTCTTTCATCTTCACCATTGAGCAGTCTGATAAACTATCACAAAAGTACTTTCCTAAGAACCTATATCTTCTGGATGCTAGAGCTGGGCATTCACACAGAAAATGTATTATTGTTTCTTTCTCCTGCGGGTTTCTACAACTTCTGCAGTGAGAGTTATAGGGAATACGCAGTTTCTCTGCGTGAGTTCCTATACACCAATGACCAGTAAGAACTGCAATAAGCCTTGCAGTGTTTACGCGATCTCTTTTGATCAGTTCCAGGGATTTATTTTTATTATAGGTGGGCCACGTTAACCTGGAAGTTGCACATGACCTCGTATAAATTCGTTTCGTTATAACACATTGCAAAATACGTTTCGTATAATTTGGTTTCGATATAACATAATACAATACGTGTTTCGTTTAACACGGTTTTTTAACACATTTTATCTGAGCTTAATTATTATATTTTAATTTAAATAAGAGAAGTTTTGAAAAGTAGTGAACTACAACCCTTGGTACTTACAGTCCCAAAAATTTTATATACGAATATTAAAATTTAACAAATAATTCCAGTTCAACAGATAATGGGTATTTGGAATTACTCCAAACATATATATGGTCAGCCAAAAATTCAATTAATTAAATATATAAATATAAAAAAGAATTTTTGTTGTTGTAGTTCACTACTTTCTGAAAGCTCTTTAACAAAATACAATAGATTCTATTAAGTAAAGTTGTGAATACTGTCACAAGAGACGCTAAACTATAATTTATTAAATCTTAGTTTAAATAAATAAATAACATGTTTTTATACATGTTATATAACATGTTTTTATATAATACGGTACGAATTAATCGTGTTCAACGAGGAACACCTATATATTACATTATGTGATATATTATATATATGATCTATTATATGATATATTATATTATATGACTCAGAAGTTAGAGAGTGCTTTGGTGTTTAATCTATATTACATTAAGACTGAAAAGTTTTCGGAAATTCTCATTTAAAATTCGCGCGCTGTATATTTTTCGATATTTTAAGTTTATGTAGTTTGGCAGCACTGTCCTTAATTTCTATGCCAAAAATGAGCGCGATCTGTCAGACAGTTCGTTTACGGCAGCTGTTGAAACCAGTTCACCTCAGTAGTGCGTTGCGAAATGTCTTCGACGGTCTTACGACCGTCCTGAAAGGCTTTGTACCACTCATAAACTTGAGTTTTCGATAAAACTGATTCCCCATAAGCCTTTTGTAGCATTCGCAACGATTCTGCACACGAAATTCGTTCGAAACACAAAATTTGATGCAAACTCTTTGTTCAATATTTTTTTCCATTGTTTTTTTCGCAACGCACTACTGAGGTGAACTGGTTTCAACAGCTGCCGAAAACGAACTGTCTGACAGATCGCGCTCATTTTTGGCATAGTAATTAAGGAAATTGCTGCCAAACTACATAAACTTAAAATATCGAAAAATATACAGCGCGCGAATTTTAAATGAGAATTTCCGAAAACTTTTCGGTCTTAATGTATAATAAACTATTTGTGTACAATATTTAAGAGAAGAAAAATATCACGATAATTAGTGAAAATTTATTACTAATTAAAATTTTATACGGAATATGTATCTACTAATTGTGTTAATATTAATCTGAATTTTTTAAAACAAAAAACTTTTGTTAATTCACCATTCCACTCCAATACTTACAGGTTCCAGACAAGCTCTATGTATTCTACCAACACAAATTCCATTCTAATGCAACATGCAATGTAATTATAGATTTTAATTAATTTGTAATTAATATAATTTAATCCATTAAAATACTTACAGTACCACAGAATTGTAAAATAAATAAAATTAAAAATTTCACCAAATATCGAGTATATAGCTTCGACATATTGTAAGCACTTCCACAACTTCCGAGACGTAAAAATTTACTAAAGTTGGTACTTTGTGTGCAAATAATACTGGGATTAACTATAACTAAAATTTTCAATAATTTGTAAAAGTTCTGGTGAATGAACACATATTGTATGTTTTATGTACTAAAATTTGTGGCTTTGTTTTATGAACGCATTTTTTAAAACAAAATAATTATTACTAATGCTTATTATATGTTAATTAATGCAAATGTATCTGATAATAGCTACAGATACGACTATACTATATGTGTGGGGTGTGTATGTATGTATGTAAAAATATGAACGTATTTTATCTTCTATCGCGTCAATTTTAATATTAAAAAGAATATGTATTTTTTTTGTCACTAAAAAAATTAACAAAATTTATTAATTAACAGTTAAGGTTTTATCAATACATTGTGACCGAAAGGTTTTCGGAGGTTCTCATTTAAAATTCGCGCGCTGTATATTTTTCGATATTTTAAGTTTATGTAGTTTGGCAGCACGTCTTAATTACTATGCCAAAATGAGCGCGATTTGTCAGACAGTTCGTTACGGCAGCTGTTGAAACCAGTTCCCCTCAGTAGTGCGTTGCGAAAAAACAATGGAAAAAAATATTGAACAAAGAGTTTGCATCAAATTTTGTGTTTCGAACGAAATTTCGTGTGCAGAATCGTTGCGAATGCTACAAAAGGCTTATGGGTAATCAGTTTTATCGAAAACTCAAGTTTATGAGTGGTACAAAGCCTTTCAGGACGGTCGTACGACCGTCGAAGACATGCCGCGTTCTGGACGACCTTCGGCCTCTACCACCGACGAAAACATTGAAAAGGCAAAGGAAATCGTGTTCCAAAATCCTCATGTGAGTGTTAGAGAGATAGCACGAGAGCTAGGCATCGGTCGTGAGAGCTATCCGCCGTAAACGGCCTCAATTGTGGAAGGATAATTCATGGATTTTTCATGACGATAATGCTCCCTCGCACCGAGCCAACATTATCAACGATTTTAAGGCCAAACATTCAATAAATACCATCAAACAGCCACCGTATTCACCTGATCTTGCACCGTGTGACTTTTTCCTGTTTCCCAAACTCAAATTACCACTCAGAGGAACGCGTTTTGAATCCATAGAAGACGAAAAACAGAATTCGCAGAGGGAACTCAAAGCCATACCGGAAAGCGCCAATAAAAAATGTTTTTGATGATTGTAAGAAACGTTGGCATTTGTGTACGCTTCTAATGGAGCATATTTTGAAGGAGAAAAATAAATATTGATGAAGATTAAGAATTTTGCGTTTTATTTAAAATTTCCGGAAGCTTTTCGGTCACAATGTATATATATTTCTTTTAATTGATTATTTGAAGAATTCACTTAATATCTATTCGATTTAAAGCATAACTCAAGTAATATTAAGGCCGTGTGCGAGTTCGAATAAATTGAGGTAAAGTAAATTGAAATTTTGTAGAGATTTTTTGCACTGCACTTATGTAAATATTTATTTATTTATTTATTGGACTTATTTATTATTTTTGTTTAAAAGTTTTTAAATTTCTTATAAAATCTTATAAAATTTTCACAATGTTAACTCCTAATTTAACTAATTTTTATCTAATTTACCCTACTCAAAACTCTGGTAAATACCAACATTCGCTGCTATACCGACATAACTTACTATTTCCCTCAATTTACCATCAATTAACTCGAACTCGCACACGGTCTTATTATGATATATTCTTAAAATACTATGTCACTATGTCGTAGTATCGTCTTCATGCATTCACACTTCAATATAACTTCGCTACCGGCAGATATCCATGAGCGAGTCCAGATCTCAAATTCACAATTATGTTTGATTTTGTTTACATCGAGCAAATCTACGTTGAATGATTTAAAATTGCCTATTTCACTTATTTCAAATCCTGTATTTAAGAATTCCAATCTAAATAAGTAAAAGTTATTAAAAATAGGGATTTTATTTTATAGTATAATTATTCGAAAAATTACTCAAAGAATGGTCCATCTTCTTTCAATATTTTCATTAGTATTATGCGTAATGCATGTTCTGCATATTGTAAATCTTCTCCAAAAATTGGTTTGATTCTTGAATGTTTTAATAAAGACAATTTATTCTAATTAAAAATTAATAAATAAATTATTAATTAAATTACTTTCAAATGTTTTTAAAAGAAAAGTTACTTACTACATTGCAGTCACCGTAAAATTCTGCTGAGACTAAAATAAAACTCAAAGTAAATATCATCAAATATGTATAATTCATCGTAAAAAATATATAACACTTCTTTTTCAAATTTTTAAAAAAAAAATTTAATAAAAATAAGAAGCTTTTATTAAAATAGTTAAAAATAAATATAATAATTAATTGAAAGTCGAATGCTTTTTTTGCTGTTATATGGGTTGAGTTCTTTTATTTATACCATAATTTATGTATTATCTTTCATGGACATTTTGATTATTAAACAATGCATTATGAGTAAACTAAAATATATTTTGCATAACTCAAAATTAAATAAATATTATTCACATTTCAAAATTCATAATATTTATATAAAAATTACAGCAAACAGCTTGCAAAATAAATAAAAAGGTTTTTCTCAACAAATATTAAATATTAGTTTTTATTTACACAATTTTTTTATTTCTGATATAATAAAAAAATAGTTAAACAATCAAACCAATCTTACTTTTTTTACCAAAAAACTTTATAATATATGGAATTTAATTTATATCTAAATCAGATATTAAACTACAAATAAAATAGATATATTACTAAATCTATATGAAATTATGTTTAAATAAAAAAATTTTAAGAGTTCTATGCCTGTCACTTACTGTCCAATCAAACTATATACGGACTATAAACTAATTAAAAAAAAATTAAAATATATCCTTAGACCACTGATGATGAGTACGTGACAATATTCGAAACAGCGTTGTATTATCAACCAAACTTCAATAAATTAACTAAATTTTTGTTCTTGTCTTTTCTTTGCCATTCGAATCCGTCTAACTTTTAAATAGTTTCTTTTTGTCATAAATACGTTCTGTTGAACGTATTTTTTTCTTTTTTTTTTCAAATGCTCACATGTCAAAAAGTTGCCTTCATCATCGTATTGGAAAAATTATATTTCTCTATTCCTTTCCATGCATCCATTCAGAAATTATGGCAACCCAGCAATCTTCTTTTCCTGTTTTTAATTAAATAGTTTTCACACTGTAACACATAATAAAAAATTCATTTTTTTTTATAAACGATTTTATCTTGCTTTTATATAGTATTTCTATATGGCCTACACTTCTTCATTATAAAAGGTAGAAGAACAAGAAATAGAATGGGCCGATACTCTCAAATACCTAGGCATAACCTTTGATAGCAAGCACTCCTGGAAAGCACATTTCAAGTCACAACGAGCTCAAGCTGCCCGTATATTACACTCCCTTCACCCGCTCATCAGCTACAAAACTCTCAACATAAAGAATAGAGTTAGCATATTTAAGCAAATTATTAAACCAGGACTACTCTATGGCAGTATAGCGTTTTGCCAAGCGCCAAGCTCAACTTTAAAAATTCTTCAAAGAGGGCAAAATATTGCCTTAAGAAAACTGGTTAACGCCCCATGGTATGTAAGAGGAGCCGATATCCACAGAGATCTGAGAGTGGATTCAGTTGAAAAATACATTAAAGATCGTGCTCTGAAACTGTTTAATATAATTGACAGTCACAATAATCCAACTCTCAGCATCCTAAAAATACAGCGAAATTTGATAAACACAGGCAGATACAAAGACATCAAATCCATCATATTATAAAGCCCCGTAAAGCCCCGTATTTAGTGTGACTTAAAACTGTCCACAGATAAAATAGAGTAAAGGTGCTGATTCACCAACTCAGATATCTGAATATCAATCAATCAATCTTGCTTTTATACAGTATTTCGTCCCAATTTTATACTTTTATATAGTATTTCTATATGGCCTACACTTCTTCATTATATATTATATGTACTTTTTAAAAGTCCTTTGTCTTGCTCTCCATGTATTACTATCGTCCCAATTTTATGCTAAATAGTATATTCGTCATCTAAGTTGGATTAAACTAGGATTGTATTATATCTCAAATAACATATCAAGCTACATACCTATAACACATAACATAATAATACATATTAAAAATTCGTCTTTGTCTTATAAATAATGGCTTTTATCTGACATTTCTATGTTTTCATTCTATATTATTTTTCATTCTAAGATTATGCGTCGTACTTTACATGTAATATTACTAACTAAATTTTTACCAAATAAATTAGTTAGTTGTAATTGGAATTCAGCTGATAACTTTCCGCTATCTTCAATCAGCTATTTTTCACTATTATGCTACCGCATTCCTTGCAAAAAACTCTAAGATATGCAAAGACAAAAACTGAATCCATTCCATCGAATTTAGATAATCTATTAAATAATCTATTATTTAGATAATAGATCTTTCGTCCTTATCAATGAACAGTCTGACAAACTGTCAAAAAAGTACTTTTCTAAAAATTTGTTTCTTCTGGAAACCAAACAACTACAATGCTTCGACAACCGATGTCTTACAACATCGACAACCGGCATCATCGGCATCCTATGGCATAGATGTATCAGTAATATGCACTTTTGGGAGTTGACTGATCAAACAGGTTCCATTCTGTCTAGACATAGTACCCCTTCTAGCTAGTTAATCGACCCTACGACTCTTTTTCTGAGCAATCTTAGTCTTAATACCATCAACTTTACCCCTAGTGAAAGCGGACAAGCAATTTCAGTCCTTACGCCCTTCAGACGATACTAAAGCCGGTTCTTTCGTTAAACCTACGGTTGTCAGTTTAAAACTAAAGTTCATAAAGTAAACATTCCTTCGTGGCATGAATGTTTTTCTTTCACTTGTAGACAGAAGTTGTGTTTTAAAACACAGAGCAAAACTTGCAATGCAGTTAAAATCACAACTTTTATTTTTAATTCCAAAAAAGATTTCATGTACACACATATCAAAACTAATACTTTATATTTTTGTAATTAAAGCTTAGATATTTTAGTTAACGATAATTAATAATAACGGACAGTTCAAAAAAAACAGAGATGCAAACCATGTACCAATTTAGTTAATAACACATCCCTGATGTCATACTATCCTTTTCTATTCAATCGCATTCAATGGAAACAACAGGAAAAGGTGTCAACTGTGTTACCCAGATTGTGGCAATGCATTCCCTAATAATATTTTGATTATCTAAAAAACTCCCTTCTACCGTAAAAAGCTTTCCAGTACTCTCTTCAGATGTCGTGAAATCATCTTCGACTGATCCGTAGGTCAATTCCACAAGGCTGTAAATATAAAATATTTCTTATTTTTTTATTTTAATACATTATATTATATACAATTACAAAGTTTTTACCTCACAAGTGACAGTGTTCGACCTTCAGCCCTATTCAAATATTCACTTAACATTTCCTCAACATCCTATAGCTCATCATTAGTTAAATCACCGGGATAATAGTCATAGTACAGAATAAAAAACAAGCCACTTAATAATAATGTATAAATATTTAATGAAATCATTTTCATTAAAATATACCTCATAATAATAATCGTCTGCATCTGGCACAATTTCAGTAAATAATAATAAAAATATTATTTTTCCAAGCATTCCAATCAATACCTTTTTGTTAACTTTAGTGTTTTTCAAATGAAGTTTAGCTTAAAACTGTTTTCATTTAACAAAAAATAATTACTTATATCCATAAAAATTACACTCATAAAATAGTTTTATAAAAAGAGTTCCGATATATATACCAATTTTACATATACAGGTGTGCAGATATGCAAATATACAGATATACTATCCGGTAAAACAGATATACTCTGTTCAAAATGATAATTAAAAAATTAATTTTACAGGTATCATTTAACACCAAGTTCCGCACCCACATGAGCGGAACTTGAAATCATCTTACAATATAATAAAAATATACAATAATATAGTATCAAAGAATCTATAGTACAAAGAAGTGCCACGCTCATACAAACGAAATACCCACTTTATTTTGCTGGTGGATTTATAATAAATCCACCCAACCTCATGCAACAATGTTCGATCGAGTCACAACTGGTATGATGTCCATTTTAAACCTATATGTGAGTCGAGTAAGGCTGACAAAAGCCCGACTGCATTCGTATTCAATCATACATGCAACCCTCTGTATTATATTATACGCATGTTTGTATGTTTGTTCGCTGTAAAATGTTCAAACGATCAAACAGCATTTCAGTGACGAAGTCAAAATTGTGTACGTTTGATAAGTTTTTGAATTTGAAAGCATATGAAACAAAATTACCTGTTTGATATTGTTATGAATTGTAGTGTAAAAACACATTACAAATTTATTTATGTCTCAAATCTGATTTTTTCCTTTTTCTGACTTTTCCAATTTTAACATTTCAATCCTTTGTAAATAGCATTTATGCGCTTCCTCAAACCAGGAAGCATTATTAGTGGTTTTAGTGACTTCTATACATTTTTTCAATATAATTTTTCTTACTTTTCTAATATTTTTATTTTCTTTAAAATACTTTTAAAACACTTTTATATGAATCTTAAAAACATTTTTTAAAATAATCACAAAAAGTCACCAAAAATTCAAACTATTAAGAAGTAGTTCCTTTTGAGGTAAAATATATGCACAAATGTGCAATAAAAACATACATATTAATATACTGTAGACTTCATGTCTCCAATATCACATTTGTACATACATAATGGTTTTTGTAGTGCATCATTTTTTGCAATAAAAAAAATAATATATTCTATTACTCTTTACTCCTATGATATGGGCCTTTCCAGTACAAGAAGATAAAGCAACAAAGTATATCGAAAAATTATTTGAGGGATTTCTTTACCATTCACTTCGTTACTAATCAATGTATATTAATAAAATAGACAAATAAAAACAAGAAAGGCAAAAGAAACAGGCGTATAAAAACAATTGTGGGTTGCAATGAGTTTGAACTGAACATCATACCAGTTGTGACTCGATCGAACATTGTTGCATGAGGTTGGGTGGATTTATTATAAATCCACCAGCAAAATAAAGTGGGTATTTCGTTTGTATGAGCGTGGCACTTCTTTGTACTATAGATTCTTTGATAGTATGATAAGTGCTATCTATATATAGTATATATAAAACCACAACTCAGGTAGAGATTTGAGTTTTAGTAGTAGAAAGAGTTATTAAATGGAATTAAATTTGGGTTAAAATTAAAGAGGATTGAAGTAGATTTATAAATACCATCATTTTCCCAAGTGAGGCCTGAAAAAAAATCTATTATTTTCTAACCGGGTTCGCAAATTTGGTTAATAAATAAATAGAAATTAGAGAACTATAAATCAGGCGCATGAATGTATGACTCCAGATTTAAAAAATCCATCGAAGCAGATTACGAAAACCTTCTTAATACAGGCCATGAAGGACACAAAGACAATAAAATGGTTGATTACTTAGACGAAATAATTGTTAATGTGCCCTTTATTCGCACTACATCTTGGATATGATTTGGATATTCATAAAAAATCACTTAAATGATATCATCAGGAAATGAAAGGAGAAAAAAAAATGCCAACGTCAAGCAAAACATTTTCATGTCCCAGCAAAGAGAAAACTTTCACGAGGTGGGACAGATTTGAGAAATTTTTATGCTTACTTTGAAGGTGACTAAACCTACGATAACACTTAAATAAGTGATGTTTAGGCAATAGACACCAGAATCTTAGCTTACATTCTATATGAAAGTCTAACTTTTGGCAGAAGAAGGCATCACAACTCAAGTGGTATTGTTATGCCTCCATTTAACAAATTCGAAACTATGTTTGGAGTAACAATATTCAGGGATAAGGTTCAGCGCATGGAATTTATTATTCAGTTAATAACAATACTAATTCACCAATAGAACGACTCTTCAACAAAATGCACTGTCTCTCCGATAAGTACTGACATTCTTACATCTCATAACAAAAATTATTTCTTAGAGTTCCAAAACCAAATTAACCTTCCATCCATTAAGATTTAATAGGGATATTAAGAGTAAATTCCTGGGTCCCGAAATTAAAAAAAAAACGAATTTATTCGTTACTTATTTAAATTTCAGACTTATTTTCCTGATTGCAGGTTTTCTACGTATTTGAGATTAAAATAATATATGGATGAAACACTCCGAAAATTCTTTAATTTAATGGTGTTAGAAATTGTATTATAATGAGATAAAGTGCATAAATCATTGATGGAAAATTATAAATGACAAAAGAGACCAAATACTATTTATGTCTTCGATCATTTGAGCGCTTACATGAATAAACTACTAAAGACTATAACAGACACTCTCAACTAATCCTTGATTTTGATGTAAAAATTTCTTTTTTTAAGTCTTTATACTTAAAGAACTAAGCTATAGCGGCTTGAAGCTTAGTGAAGAAAATTACTAAAAATAGACGACTTTATTTAAACCCGCTGTTAAATTGGGAGACCTCAGAAATAGGAATCGCGTCACACATGATACCATATATATGCTTACGACATAAACCAAATATTACTAAACAAATGCTTTTTATAATAACAATTTACAGGTTATATCACACAGTTATTTTTCATTAGCTATATAAAAAGTTTTGATGATGATTTATAGTCGCAGACTGTCAAAACCTTTAGCAACACATAAACGGCAATGGCATAACTTTCACATATTTTATAATAAAATTATATTAACATCAGAGGTCAACTTCAACTATGTTAGTACAGAATTTTGTATATATAAACTTTTTCTAACAAACTGTTTGAGAATTATAAATAATCAAATATATATATTCTTATAAAAATTTAATATAATAAAACATAACTAGTGCAACTACGAGTATAATGAACCTATAGAACGCGTCACTCAAGTCTTATATCTAAAAATTTTAATAGTAAACACTCATTAGTATATTACATACAACTGTATGGCACATATGGTCAAGTATATAACTATGTTATATATTTTTTCACAATCAGAAATTATTTTTCTTGATACCAAGATTAGGGCATATCTAAAGTTTAACAATAAAAACCTTCGAATACTTAGCATGTCTTTTTTCCATATGTTATACCGTAACATAATGGGCTTATAAGCCTAATAGGATTTTTGGGGATCGCCAGTATAACCTATCTACATGTGTTTTTGAAAGTTTAACCACAATTGACTAATATTAATTTAAATATCTATTAATAAAAATTTGTAAAATAATCTTGTTTTTGAATAACATTTTATAGGTTTTAGCAATTTAAATGAACTAAATATTAGTAAGTTTTTTTAGCTCAAAAACTTAAAGATAATGTTACCCAAATTCAAGCAAACATAATACATATACCTATATATAAATACAGACAAACGAATATTGCTTAAAAGATTCGTCAAGTGCTACCCATTTAGAGCATGAGTATATCTGGGTTTTATTTTGGTATAGGAAACATATGCTCGTTAGTTTCCCGTTGAGTCCAAAATAAAATGTGGTTCAAGATAAAGATCTAGATTTTCCTGAAACCAATAATATGATATCCGACTTATTCCGCTTTACAAACAATTAATATTCCCTTTTATTGACAATGAATTCTTAAATATAAAAGGTTTTTTTTTTGTTCTTTTTACCGAGGGACTTTAACCTACTAAAATCATCCCAATGTCCGACGCTTGTCCCTTTCCGCATCACCAGTTGGGTATTTTGTCAAAAGGCCGTCCAGATCACGAAGCTCAAACGTCAGTTTTTTGTCGTCATTGTAGCATTCTAATTTACTAATTTCTAATTGCATTCGTCATCATTGTAGGTGTATTACTACAACTGTTCTTTGCTCTTAAAACTGCTTGGACACATTTCATTTACAATGTTGCTAGGAGATGGTAGATATTCCAGAATCTCCATGAGTAGTTCCAGGTCTTCATCGCAGCGAAAGTCTACATGTTCTACGCTTTCTGAAACTTCGTGGCAGTTTGGGCAGTAATGACTATCTGCCAGTTAAAATCTCTAAAGATATTCTAAAAAGACTCCGTGACCGCTCAATATTTAAGTTAGATTATAATCGACTTCACCATGTGATACTCTAAAATTTGCCAAGAGAGGGTGAGCTACTTTGCTTTATACGCTATATTTTTATATAGCGTTTTATATATAGTATATATGATTAAATTCATTTATTTTAAATAATATAAACATATTTTTATTGTTATTCATAAGGGAGGGAACCTATTATTTTGAACATAATATAACAATAAAAGCGTTAGAACTACTAAACGTGTTATAATTATTTAAAAAAATGTAAGTATTGGCAACTCTACGCTGGTCAGGCAGATAGTTATATACCATACATATGAGAGAGATATTGTTTTAGAAAAGTTGAGACATTCTCTCAAAAAAAGCAAACAATTTTAGTTTTACATATTAAGTGCTAATAAATACTACTGAGAAAAAACTTCAGCGTATCTGCTAAAATTAACACTTCATAATACGTAACTTAGTGTAACTCTACAGCTTATATATATACATATATATTAATAAATATTATAATAATATGCAGTAATATACAGTATAAATAAGTGACGTATACATATGTAGATTGTTTGTAGAATATTAAAAGTGAAATAAATTTCAAAAAAGTATATTTTTGAAAATTTTTTATTAATGCAAAGCAGTCAATTTAAATAATACTAATTTGCATACAATGATATGTAAAGTAAATTCTTTGCTTGATAATTAAATTTAATTAGATTTAATTTTGATTGCTTCAATATTCATTCGCTTAGTAAGTTTTCGTAATCTCGTTTTCACCCTCGCATTGAAGAGTAACTTCTGTAGAATTTGGTATCCAAGGTCGAGTCCATATTTTGACTATGCATGATTTTGTATTGTTTTGATTATCCGAAAGCTCTGCATTGATATTATAAAGCGTTCCAGCAACAACTTGACGTGTAGCGCGGATCACTTTCACAATTCTACAAATATTACCAGTAACTTTTTTATTCAAAATCCATAAATTATTTAATATATACATATATTACATATAACGTGGTACGTCACCGCCAGCTATCTCAGCTAAAGAAGTCGCTAACAGTTCTTCAGCCTCTTTTAAGTCATCTCCAGTTAATGGCTCCGGACCACCAACAAATTTCTGTTTAAATAACAAACAATTTATATTTTATTTTTATAGATATCACTTTTTTACTTAAAAGTAAATTATACTAAGTAAATTAATTAAATTAAAATATACACACGTCAGATTGTGCCATCGCGACTAGCACGAACAGACTGAATAATAATAAAATTTTTTTTCCAAACATTCTGATCGCCGTCTCGTTATTCACTTTATGGTAATTGCGTGTTCTAATTAGAGTTTTACTCAAAACTGCTCTATATCGGCGAGAAACAATTATTTTATACAATTTGTGTGAAAAATATTACTGTTTCAATCATTTCATATATTTATTTTTCATAATACATCGAATAGATAAAAAAATATTTATTAAATAAAAAGTGTAAACAACCTGCACTCTACAATCGGTATATGCGAATTCAGACCTATAATTTAATACAAGAATTTATTATTAATGTTATTGATTTTTCAAATATTAATTTTGTTTTAAATATATATATTAATAAATCAAAGAATACTAAATGGTTTTAGTATTGTTCAGTAATTGCCAAAATCAATGTAAATATAAAATTAAATGTTTATCAAAACAATCCATCAATCCATGATAAGGTATTATGTATATGCCGAAACCTTGATTGCAGTGGAAATGATAACAAAATATTATTTTTATAAAATAAAAGATAAAATAATAAACAAAAAACGATAAAAAAATAAATAAAACCAAACTGAAAAAAAAATATAATATTAAATAATCTACATCCTAAAAAAATTACAGTAAATAATATACTTATATAATAATAATTATATATAAGTATATTATATAATTGTTAACTTAAGGCTGTACAAAATTAGTTATAAATAAAAATAAAGAAATTTATATACACGTAAAGTAAAAGTTTGAACCGATTAGACCCTTTCCATAAATACTCTTAACGCAGCGACATCTACAGGTGCATAATAATAGATGCATGATCTATATTTCAAATATATATACATGGAGAAACAAGTGATTATTATATTTTGAAAAAGTCTATTTTAAATATGGAAAAAGTGACTTGGAAGTGTACGAGTGTCGTACATTGATTTTAAGTTGATTTAGCTGAGAACTTTGAAAACTTTGTTCGAGCACAGCTACTCGCTATGGACAAAATATGGGAAAATCCAAAAAACTCATCAAAGACAGGATTCAGATATTTAAAAAGCACAATGCATCGAATTTTGTAACACATTTACATTTTTTATGCCTTATACACTTTAACAGATGACCGAAAATACTATAAAGTTCAACATTAAAAAGCAGATTGTCCTGAAAGGAATCAATTCAAGCATGCCAACCATTATTACCTATAATAAAACATGATGTTTCCAATATGAGCCAAAAACAAAATGTCAAGAGCGCGACATGAAATTCAACCGAAGATTCAAACGAGAAAAAGTAAAGCATTCAGAGGAACTAAACTACGACAATGTAGACTGGTTTCTTTGATTCAAATGCAATTGTCAGACAGAACCAAAAATATTATCTATTTGATAGAACTGATAGAATACGACAAGTTAAAAAAGAATACCGATAGCTAGGCTGTTGGTTATTGTCGCATAATACTGCACTGTTCCACAAAACCATCATCGAATGTAATCTCTGAACTGAAAGAGTCATAATTGTTATTGATCATTCATTGATCTGATTTTGCTCCATGCAAGTACTGGAACTATAAGCGCTTCAATATTATTTCGATTATCCAAAAAGTCTCGATCGACTAAAGATAATTTCGCTCGATGAGCATTAAAAATGTCTCGTCAAAAGTTCCACTATATACACCTGATTTAACTTTATGCAACTAATGGAACAATAGTACCAAATAGAAATTAATAACCGAATTAACTGAATTTCGGTGAATGAGTACAAAAAATCTATTTATTCAGAAGGAGATTATTTTATATAAACAAGAATAAAAAATTAAAATAATAAACATTTCGTGTTTTTTTTTTGTTGTTGTTGTTTTCGATATTGGTTCTATCTAATATGGAACTATACATTACAAATAAAATGCTTATAGGCCATAATGGAAAGTTTAGACAAAATTTAATTTCTTGCTTAACTGCACAGTTTTAAAAGATATATATAATTATAATTAATTAATTTTAAAATAAAAAACAAAATTGTTATTGCTCTTATATACAAAATATTTCAATCCATTAGATTTTTATTAATTTTATATAGCATAATTATATTAAAAATGTGGGGTCTATATGACATACAATAATTTTCATTCAAATTTATTATTAAAAAAATGTTAAAATTAATACTAACAATAATATACCTACAAAGAGATCTGTAATAGCATGGCGCTCTGAGCAATTTTTGAGCAATCTTTATGGCGTTGAGCAATTTTTAGAAAATTAATTATTTATATCTGGAACTAAATAATTTTGATCATTTGATATATATTTAGTAATTTTTCTTTAGTATTTTTATCATACTTTGTATTTTTAGCATACTTTGTATTTTCAGGAAACTTACAAGGATAACTACAATTGGTTACTGTAGGGTATCTGTATAGATCAGCATTGCCTATTTATTTTCAATAAGAATACTTATGTGAATACTCACAATTTGCTAATGTCTTGAAGTTATTTATGTAGAAGTCAGCATTTTATAAATAATTAAGTAAATTTTTATAACAGTTTTGTACATTTTAGTTAATTTTAATTGATCATTGTTTGTTTTCATATCCATTCGCTGTAATGAAATTGATAGTGAAATTGTTGAGTAAACAAAAGTAATACTCACTTCAATAACAGTATTGGTAATTGATTGCAAAAATATTAAATAAATTGATATAAATTTACAGATAATCAATATTATGAAGTAATATAATAATATTTACATTATTTAAGTGCAAGAATATATCGAACTATTTAAACAATTTAAAGAAATCTTAATACGTACTTTCAAGAATAACTTTCTATTAATAATTTAAGTCTTTTTTATATATTAAGCGATTTTCCCATAAATTGTTGCTAAAATACGATACTAATTCTTTATTATACTATAGTTTAACAAATTATTGAAGATTAATTAGTATTTTTCCAATTCACCTAATCCAATTCGTAACTCTTTAGTTCATAGAGATATTATCGGCAATTGCAGAGCAGACGAAAGGCTGCTTCAGGACCTCACTCGAAACACCTACCTATATGAGCATTTCGCTAACATCACGCAAATTGTTATTGAATTCTTTCTGTACTGAAATTTTTAATAAAAAATTGGAAGACTCAACGATATGCATGCATATGTATGCAATCTGGCCACGTTCTGATAAAAGAAAATCCAAAATTCTCATTGAGATACCCCGTAGAGATATCAGTCTTTTGATAAACTAGGGAACCATGCTAGAACATTAGGTCTTCCTTTCAATCAAATCTATCGCCTCTCATCTACTATGTTTTTGCCCAGCTAATGCAATTTAGCACTTTACCTCTCTTTCTTGAGAATTTTGAGAAATTACAGAACCTGACACTAAATACGATTTTGAGCTTCGCAAAGGTTCTAAGTGGTTTTAAATTCTGAGTTTTTCGTATATATACGGTAACACAATGGGTAAAAATGGATCCACTAGAGATCGCCGGTATAACCTAACCTAAACTAAGTCTTTAGTTCAAAATATATTTATCTGTCTGACGAAAAAAGATAATGCTGAAACATACTAATGAGGATATTCAGTGCTCGGTATTGCTAAAGTGCGAAAAAGAAAATAATTCTTCCTCTTACTCAGACTTATTATAAGCCATATTAAAGTATGGCAAAAAAAATTTATTCTGGTATATATTCTAATCCCTTTGACATAATTTTCAATACGCCAGGCTAATAATGTAGGCATTCAAATTTGTTTCAATTATTTTATTTTAAATTGTAATATTTTAAAAAATTTTTATTATTTTTAATACATATTTAATAATTTTTATTTTTTTTGTGAGTTCGAAAAACATTTTTATATATCGTTTACCTCATACATAATCATATTAAATAAAATTCCTCTTCAGTATCTAAAATAAATATTTGCTTATTTTAATTTGATAAGTTTAGATGAGTTTTTTGAGAATGATTATATAAATATGTTTGAAATCAAAAATGATAAGAGACATATAAAGCAGGTATCGGTGGTAATAACTGTTGTATCATTATCCCGTCTATAGATAGCTAGAAGCAAACTCAAGCTTCTGGTGCTCACAGTTTTTTTGTTTAATAGGTTGGATTTTTAACTATTTTTTAAAACAGATTGACAATAGAATACCTGAAAAAATTATACATATCGTTCGCCAAACCAAGCCTATAAGTAGTAGACTAAATACCATGCGCTGGAACTTCGTAACACTTTATCATCACAAGTTGAAAAAGTATTATCTTTTTGATGAAGATATAATTGTATAAAATCCATGCTGAAGTATTAAGCATTCCTGTTCTGAAAATTAATTCCAACTTTGCCGGATTGGTATGAATATTTATCTTTCGTAAGGCGTATTGAAAAATAGTCCTTGGTACACGAAAACTACCAGCGATGTAAACGCTTTTATATCAAAAATATAAAATCTATATCTTTTCGATAGAATAGTAAGTTTATTATTCCATATTATATATTAATACTGTAAATAAAAACATTTATAGGTTAAGAAAATTAAAAAGTTACAGTGTAATGTTCTGCATTAAATCATTTAATTTTTTAAATATTGTTTATCAACAATTTGTATAATATTAAGCAAAATTAAATGAAAATTCATATATATATTTTATTTAAGCTGGAATTTTTTTTACAATTTTGGGCTCTCCTTCACATTCGATACCAAGTTCCACATCGGGTTGTGATTTAATATTGATAACACATTTCTTATTTTCGTTCTTGGCATTGATGAGTTCGGCATTGATACTGTACTCATTTTCATTGTTATTGGGATGAACAGCGGATATAACCTTAGAGACGCTATAAAAAGATTATTAATTTTTAAAAAAGTATTTTTTTCAGTATTTTTTATATTATTCTAGTTATTATTCTAGTAGTATTCTAGTAAATTCTAGTAAAAACAAGTAACATAATTAAGTGGAACGCTTAGGACGAATATCGCGGATCATAAACACAACATAAAAGTCCGTTTAACCCTCAATGATCAAAGGACAGCATTAGCGACCCACTGCTCTACGATGAAACATTCTCAAAATTTTGAAGATATATAAATCGTTAACGAGGAGTCAAATTATCGACATACAATAATATTCGTAATGTTATATATGATTGATGTTCCAGAAAATCATAGACTAAACTACAGCAATGACACAGAGGGTCTTGCGTAAATATACAACTCTCTGACCAATCAGAAAAATTAACATATAATTAATAATTATAAAATTCTATTTTCTTTTCCATTAGTTAATCCTTTATTTTTGTTCTTTAATTTTGTTTCCGTTTATTTTTGACTTTTTAATTTTTATTATTATTATTTATTTTTATTATTAGTTATTATTTTAATATATGCTTATACTTTTCTTCGGAAGACGGAAAGTGTTCTGTTCGGTTAGGGTCTGTTGCAGCACAAAAGAATAACCATGGTCACAATGCTCCGCTCCGTTGTGAGCTGGTGCCCTGTTTATTCCTATTCCTATGCTTTTATTTACATGTATTTTAAATAATATCATTTTTACTTATGTACACTGAAGATGGTTCCCACCGAAATAGACCATCAAAATAGGTCTATCTAAATACCAAAATATTTTTCAAAAATATATTATATTAAAAATTTTAACACAACCGAAATAAATCTTGTAAAAATTATAAAACTTTTTGATAAATAAGTATTAAGAAATAATTATTAAAAAAATTTATCAAGTTTAAAAAAAAATTATTATTGAATATATTTTAAAATATTTTTTAAATAAATTACTTAAGTACTGTTAAAAAAATGTAAAATTATATTTAAAACAGTTATTCAACACGTTTTCTAATATCTTTATATTTTATAATAACGAAATAAAAAAAAATTATTTTAACGAAATCTTACCGGTATTTGGGTCCTTCGCCAGATGCCAATCGTAAAATGGAGTTCTCTAATAAATTAGCAGCTTTTCGTAGTTGTTCATCCTTTAGTTCTGGCATTCCAGTAGCATTTGCTGTCTTTTAAGAAATTTTTTTTATACATTTGTTTCATAAAATTGAGCACATATTTATCTTATTTTTTATTATTTTTATTAAGTTGTTAAACTTACTACATGAGCAGCAACAAATACAATTAGAATTCCCATAATAAGCGCAACTTTTAATCCAGCCATTTTGATGAGTTAGTTTCCTTAATAGTAATTCAAACTGCAACTTTGACAGTGAACTGAAAAACTTGATCTCGTTTTATGCCTTTTATATACTTTTGTAAGCTAAGATTTAACCCTAATTATTTAAATTAAATCTCATAAATATTGTTTTCAATTACTTTAAATAATTACATGATTAAAAAGTATTTAGTATAATTTCATCATTATTTACTTTTGTGGAATATACCAAAATGCAGTCTCCTTAAATGACCTACCCATTTAATCGAAAATATTGATTTATTTAATAACTATTTAATATATGCAATAGTTATTCACATATATGATTATATGAATATGTAAACATCGCTGGTGGTATTATCCTAAGTTTCATCTGTTTTATATTTTACGCTATACCTTTATAAGTAAAGAACTAGCTGCCATATTAGTATTGATTCTCATAATATGTATATCAGACAGATCTATCCAAATACTATATTTAGATAGTGGACTTAAATGGAAACCGATCTTCCTTTCCATTTTTCGAAACCTCTGCTATCAAAAAGGGGTAGACTTGTTAATCAACTTTAAAATCTAATGGGTATATATGTTTTCACCATAGATCTGTAATAAGTAATCGAGATAGTTACTTTACACTAAAATCATTACAACAATTTTTATTACAAATAAAACGATAAAAGATAACATAATAATAACATTATTATATTTCAATAATTTAAGAGAAACCACTTTTTTGTTTGATATTTTGAATCATAACACATCAATATATTACTTACTTCATTTGCCTTTAAAACCCGGTATCCAGTTTCGACCTAGCACATCACTCCTGTTCAGGCCATTCTGCTATGTGCGTGCCTCTTTAGTCTTGTACATCAAGTGCGATTAGTGTTCCCTTAACTTGATACCTTTACCGGAAATACAATCTATCTCTACACCTTCTTTCTCCAATTTCAGTTTCTATCACCTTTCTCGATGGTGCATCGATATCCGTTCTCACAACATGATCAAACCAACGAAGCCGCTGGATATTAATTCGCTGAAGTATATCAATTTCATGATAAAGATTATACAATTCGTAGTCCTTCTATTCGAATTAACTTTTCTCTCAAAAACTCTCAGTTTAACTTTATAATTCTGTGATTGCATTTATGTTTCTATGCCATACAAAAGCACATATTCCCGCCTAAAAATATTATAAAAGTTATGTAGATGAGAAAGAAGAACCGATGGAACACAACTGCTACAGTTACCTTCCTGAAAGTAGAAGCAGCACAAACTTTGTAGAGAAACAAATCTTTAGCACTATCGCAGAGCTGTTCAAAGCTTAGACTAAAATCATATAAACATTTTTAAAAGCAGCAAAATGGTAAAACAATTAAAATCTCATATGAAATATTGGTATTACAACAAATCCGTAGGACCAATTAATCAATCTACTACTACATTAACCTAACATAACCTTTTACATCTTGACTAACAACTACACTAATAGCGATCAGAAAACTAACTATGAACTATTAGCGATACGCGGGCGACGATTCAGAAACCACGATTTAGGCTAGTATTACCGAATGCCCTATTTCTTTTTTGAATTTAATTAAAAATCTGAATGAAAAATGCTCAAAGAAGAGACTAAGTTCATTCCAGTAATTAAGAGTGAGAGTTGAAATAAACAGCTTTAGTACTTAGAAATTTAAGTTTATCTAATCCAGAAAGCATGTTCTTAAAATAGATGTTCTTAAAATAGAAATACTGCACAAACACTGGGGATAGATTAATTATATACTCTGTGACCAAGGTCACGAAACCCATGGTTAAAAAAACAATAATTGAAGAATCTGATTTTTTTTTATCGAAGTATAAAAACAAGTATAGGTGGGCTTATAGGACATGACTAACAAAAGGTACGAGAAACGAGTGTAAGCAATTGAAACATTCTTACTGATAGAGTTGGAGAAGTGCTTGCCGTCAGGCTGTAATCTCATAGGACGTTGCACTCAAAAATATGGTTTCTTTTCATTTGATCAGAAGTGATTGCAGATAATATAGCGAAAGCGTAGGAAAGTAAATGATGGATGAAATGCTTGTATCAGAATTTTTTAACTTTAACAGTTAAGAAAGATGTGCCTTCAAATTTGCCTAAAAGTGATGTTTTAAATAGCGCATATTACATGTATAAAGAAAATGCCTAAGTGGATAGCACAAAACTCTAGATTAATAAGTTGGATATGAAAACCCCTAGGGTAATATCTTCTCTGACAGAAATCTTGAAGAGATTGAGTTTAATTTTTTAAGTAGTGTATTAAATAAAGAGGGTCCTGAACTGAATTAGAGTTTTGGTGAAGGTTGGACGGACGCATAAAAATGAGGCAGCCATCAGCAAATCAAAATTTGTTTGACACGGGGCTATGGAGAAGAGGTGTCTGTTATAAAAAAATTAAAAATTTAGAATATTGGAGAAAACCAACAGTAATGAGAATATATAGAATAATGACTTATACTACAAATTCAATATTTTAGGTAATAATATATAACATTACGAGCAATAGAATTTGATATGGTATGTCAATTTATGGGAAAGAGCCATGGAAAAATTCAATATTTTACATGATATTAAAAACAAAGTATGGAAACTACTAAGTAGTGTTAGAATTATATACTATGAAGATGAATTAAACTAAATTAAATACTCTCGTATTATTTATAATTACTTACTCACTTTGTTTTATAATTACAAATCTTTTTAAAATATGAATCATTTGATTAAGTGTTCTAATTACTGAAACACTCTTTTAGGCTACTAGTAAATCACTTATTTTACATGGAAATACTGGGTGTTTTATAGTGCTAGTAATAAAACACTGCTACGATTTTGTTCATAGTTTTCACACTTTACAGATATACAATATTATAAGTAATGTATTAATCAATAGTACATAGATGAATTACCCTGTAACTCTTAGTTCAAGTTCAAGGTGAGCTAAATCTTTTGAGTCATTGTTTATATAAATATTTATATTTATTAACTAACAATTAACGTAGATTATATTAGTTTTTTATTTCAAAAACTGGTAGTTTTGCTTTTGCCGATAGTTTGTTTCTATTGTATTTCCAATAATTGGTTAGAAAAGTAAATTATAATTATAATTTTAAATTTATGCACAATAAAAATAAAACGTTCTAATATGAAATTTATGAGTTTTATAAAATTAAGTCAAGCTACTCTTAATGACCAGATCTAGTCATCCGATTATTGTACTTTATACGACCTCCATTATTTATTATTTAATTTTGCATTAATTTCTTTCAGCATATAAGTATATAGCATATATTATTTAAATTAAGTTTAAAAATACACTTTAAATAGAATTAATTTTTAATATAATAAATAGTATCGAGTTGGAAGTTAAATTGATTAGATAAAGTTATATAAACAAAATCTTAAGAGCTTTTTAGGAAAAATTTGAGAGTAGAGTACAACGGCTATTGCAGCTGTAATATAGGTAGTTTATATTTCTAAGGAAAGGCTCGTAAGTTGACCTTCCTTACGAATGGTAAGGAACAGACATGAACTATAAGTAACACTTTACGTTGACAAAGACGTCATCTGTGCTTCACTATTTTCAAGAAAGGTAAATTGTGCGAACTTTCTGAGAGCTGCATAGATTACAGTTTGCCAGCAAAAGGTACCCCTGGGATAGAATTATAAACACCTTTAATTATTTCATCTGATTTTAGGTAGTTCCTTTCTAAAAGGAATTATAACATTATAATTTTACATTATAATTTTAATCATCGACATCTTTAATACGACATCTTATGGTAATACTCAAACTACTTCTCAGTTCAAAAATAATCCATCGACAGTTAGTTAATAACTTTAAAGGAATATAAATAAACCTTTATTAGTGGTTTACAGTTTACCATATCATAGAATTCAATACAAAATCTACTGTTTTTAACTTAGTATAAATTTTATATTAGTAATGTTATAGTTTAACATGTAAAATTTTACGAAAACATTGTGTAGCCAAAGTAAATAATATCAACAAAATACATACATGTACATTAATACATATATTAAAATGATAACATTCAACAAAAAAAGAAAATTGTTTAAATTTATAAACGAATCCTTGAGCTAAATTTTATTGGCATATAGCTCTGAAAAGTATTATACCAATCATTTCCTACTCTCGTTTCTCACCCGATTATGCCTAATTGATATATTAATTCCTCCATTAATCATTAGAATGTCTAAAATTTGAACTGAATGAAAGTTAATATCTTCCAATCCTTATTGTAACATAACATTTAATGGTGTTTGAGATTTTCAAAATTTGATTAAGAGAAGAGTAATCAGTGGAGTATCCAGGGAGCTGGGTATTAGGTAATAGACTTCTTCCCTCAGCAATATAATTTGCACATAATTTACTGCAAAAACATTGTTATTTAATATGCTTTCCAGTACAATCCAACTTAAGTCATTTATTTTAATGTGTAGACATGTTCGGGTTATTCAAATAGGAAAACTTTATCTTTCTCTACGCATAACAGCAAGTTCTAGAACTCAAACATGATCGAACATTAAAATGCTCCAAGATAAGCTGGACGATTCTTATCTTGATTATCTAATTAATATTAATCAAGCTATTATCTGTCAAAACCTTTTTCAAGTTATAACAAGTAAACGTACTATTATTATTATCTTAATAGACCTCACATATTTTGAAGATAAAAAATTTTAATATTGTAATATGGACTTAATGGATTTTTACACAATAATAACTATAATAATAATTAAAGCTCCACTGAAAACAAGCGAATTAGTGTCCAATATCTTAATAGAGAAAAAAATTAATTTAAAAAATCATAAAATCGCATATAACAAAATTTATTAAAACTATTCTTAAATTATAAAACCTCAACAAACAATAATATATTCCTATGCACTATATTTTTTCAATAATTTCTCTTCACCTTCACATTCGAACGTGACTTCGATGCCATTTTCTAACCAAGGCTGTCCCGAAATACTGACGTCACAAGTTTTAGTCGTTTTCTTGTCATCAATGAGTTCAGTTTTAAATTTGTATAATATACCGGAAACCACTTGCTGTGTTGCTGATATAACCTTGGATAGTCTAAAAAAATAAAAATATATTAGAAAGAATTATACCCTGATAAGGTCTTTGTGCGAGGAACTTACTTATATTTGGGTCCATCACCTGCAGCTATTTTAGCTAAAGATTTTTCCAAATACTCTTGTGCTGAAGTTAATTGGTCACCAGTTAGGGTTTCTATTTCATCGGCAGCGGGCTAAAAATTATCAAAAGTGTGATTAACTAATAGTTTAATTATTATTTATATAAAGTTTGTTCATTATTTGAAGTTGTCCACTTCTCAAATAATTAATCTTTTGTTTAATTATTATTATTAACTTAATTAAGTAAAAGTTCATGTTTATTTAACTAGATTAATAGTTTTTTTTAAACTATTTAATTTTTATTTAAATGTTCGGTGAAAGTTGACGTGTCCAGTATGTTCAACTTTTTCAAAGTGTGGGTTTTGTATTTTTTTCTTTTAATTATTAAATTTATTTCATTTTTCACAATTCTCAACCATTTGTGTTTAAATTTATTAAATTATTAAACTTTTAACTTTTATTTTTAAATTTATTATCAATTATTAGACACCGGATGTACTTGACACGTGCTCAATTTTTTTCGCCTTAGTACTTATCTCTTTTAAAATCTATTTTTTCATTTAGATAGAAATTAAATTCATTGATTTAATTTAATATTTATTTAATTCAATTATTAACAATTATCGACTCACTTCATCTTCGGCAACAACTAAAACAATAGTTAAACACAGTAAAAATAATAATTTCATATTTTTTGAATATATTTCAATGTGTTTATCTTTAAAAAAATTCTTTATAATTGAAGAAGATCTGCTAACTCTTCGTCTTTTATAGGAAAAGAAGAGAAATAAAGCGTAGCGAATTACATGTCTACCGGTTTTAGAATTAATTTTATGTTAATTAAAAATTAACGGTTTTAGATAAAATTTGTCTCTCTATTCTTAAATAAAAATCATAATCATATATATAACATAAAATTTATAATAAATAAGATCAATTCTATTACGTCATTATTGGGTTTTAAATGATCTAAATAATTTATTAATGTCTGCTAAATCAGATGTTTAAAGATTTGAAGATTTCGTTGATAAATTTTATTGAACAATGTAAGTAACAGCGGGAAGCGACTTTAACCTGTTAAGCTTATGTTAGGAAATTGTTTTCTTCTTCATTACTAGTTAATTTAAATAAATTTTGTTTTTTATTTCCTTATGTCATATTTTCATATGACCTACAATTTTACATATTTTTCTCAAAAATGTGTTAAAAAATCTACATATTTTCATTCAAAATTTATAAAAAAAATTAATAATTATGAAATAATATTTGTACGTCTATTTCGTTCTGTCAAAGTTAACACGAATGATAATTTTTTATATTATGTTTAAGGAATGCATTAATAATTTAAGAAGAAAATAATTATCCTGCCATTATATGTTATATATGTTTTTAAACACAATAAAGAAAAATTTTATTTCTATTATATTAATAGTTTATGACAAAATTAATATCTAGTTAAGTTTCTACCTTACACGGAATCAACGAATTTCGAACATCGAAAGTGTACAGTATGAAATATCCTATTTGTTAGTGGTTTAAAAAACAAGTGTACGTACAGTACTGAAAGTAAATACAAAACTTCGTGAAGTTTACTTCATATCCATAATAAATGCCATATGAGTGATATTTAGAAATCTTAATAACTTATTTTGCCAAACAATTCCTTAAGGGTATTTTAAATGAGATGAATGTGAACTCTCCTAATAACCCCCTAATAATATTAAATTATAAAAAAATTACTTAGTTCGTGTGCGAGTTAGGCTAACGACGTATGCGAGTTAGGCTAAGGTCGTGTGCGAGTTAGGCTAAGTTGCGTTCTAAATGAGGGAAATTCTAAGTTGTGCCGATAATGTAGTGATGTGGCGATACGTGTTGATAAATGGCTAAATGTGTGCAGTGCAAAAAATCCCAAAAAATCTTCTATTTGGTTTAGCATCAACTTAGCCTAACTCGCACACGTCCTTACTACTCATGTGGGTCCAAATGTAAAATACTTCAATCAAATATGCAATATAAAATAATTTGTTATGTAATGTTATTAGTTTTTAAGATTCTTAAACTTCTTGTTAAGCTTTAAATAAAAGCGTTTTAATGAAGACATATTGTTAAATAATATAAAAAAAAACATATGCAATAATGTTAGGTTATGTTATGTTACCATATAAAAGAAAACTAAGAAGTTTAAAAACTACCTTGTACCTTTGGAAAAGCTTAAAATGCTTTTAATAGAAGGTTTTGGAGGTGGTCCAAGGGCTTATTGTATTGAATATTTGTTGATTATTAAATATTTATTGTATAAAATAAATATACAATAAAAATTTATTAAAATTTTGTATATCTCTACATCGAGCGACGATAACGCTTTTGTTAATATCGTATTCTTACTAGTTGTTTATGTATCTATCATATATTATAGAATAAAAAACATATGTGGAATAATAGAAAAAGTTTTCAAGAATTTAAACAATCACTAAATAAAAAATCTAAAATAATAAAAAATTACAATAATTATTCTTTGTTAAGTAAAAATAATTTACCTCACTTCATATTTTATTTAATATTTTACATCTAAATAGTCTCTATTAACAACAATTTTCTTAAGCACTATGTTTTCGCACTAATTTTTCCTCGCCATCACATTCAAAAGTAACTTCGATTCCATTTTCCAACCAAGATTGACTCCAAATACCGATATTGCAGATTTTTGTAGCATCATTGGAATCAATTAGTTCAGCCTTTATTTTATAGGCAATACCAGAAACTACTTGAGATGTTGCTGATAAAATTTTAGAGAGCCTAAGAAACAAATACACAATCAATAATAATAATTATATCAATAATATTATATAGGACGTGTGCGAGTTAGGCGAAGTTGATGCTAAACCAAATGGGAGATTTTTTGGGATTTTTTGCACTGCACACATTTAGCCATTTATCAACACGTATCGACACATCACTACATTATCGGCTCATCTTAGAATTTCCCTCATTTAGAACGCAACTTAGCCTAACTCGTACACGTCCTTAGCCTAACTCGCACACATCCATAATATATAAAACATTATATAATGTATAAAGAACTTACTTATAACTTGGACCCTCGCCTGCGGCCAATTTAGTTAAAGACAGTTCCAAAGCTTCTTTTGCTGAATTTATGTCGTCGCCACTTAAGTTTTGTACTCCACCTAAAACAGGCTGTAAAATATGCAAAATATTTTAATTTAAATACTTTACTGAAAATTTCATATAAATTATTTATATATATACATATGCATATATTTATGTATATTTCTTATATGGTAAAAATATAATAAGAAATTAACTTTTACTCACTACGTCATTTGCGGCGACCACAATAATGGCAAGACTCAACAAAAATATGGTTTTCATTTTCTTAGGATTGTTCAAGGTGTTTTTCCTCGGAAATGTGATTTCTGATTGCTAAAGGCCTGTCAGATCTGCGTCTTTTATAGTTCAGGAAAAAAATAAAAACAGCATAGAGGCGCTTATGTCTTAACCAGTTTTGGCAGAGAATTTATGTTAATTACTTATTTACTATTTATTTGCCAATATTTATTTGATTATTATTCAAAAAAAAAATTTAATAAAAACTATAAATAAAAATAAAAAAATAGGTTGTGTTATAAATAAAACAAAAATAAATTGATTTACATCACTTTGACGTAATATACCATTTCACATTAAAATCAAGTTTTATGACTCTAAACAGATTGGCCCAGATTATTCTCCAATTTTTATAACATCAAATTAATTCAGTATTCACGAAAAAAGCGACAAATTAGTTCAAAAAAAACCCGTTAAACTTACTTTAATGGAACTTTTTAATTATATTAAATAAATATTTAAATTTTTAATGATTCTACATGTTGTTCGATATTTACATTGCTTTTCATAAGAACTCAGTTTTAAAATAATATTTATATTGATGTAAAACTTATACTCTTATTAGTGATATTATAGAAAATCGTTATCACTATAACTTTGAAGTTTGTGGTAAACCATTTCCTTCCTTACAATTTCCTTTACTCTTATCTATTTTTTACATTTTTTATTTTATAATTTACGTATCATTATTCCTTTGTTCTTCTTAACATCCTTTTGTAATCTGCAATCTGGATCCTTGTTTTCTCGCATCAAGAATCTTTTTTAGTATTCTTCCATTTTTCCTTACATCCTCAATAGAAATCCGTACCATCGCAACTATTGCATTTTCATAAATCTTTTAAAACTACTTTCATAAAATATATTTAAACAAAGATTATATCTGATATATATTCTTCTTAAATATTTTTGTAAGAGTTTCCCGTTTTCTTCTGATCCTATAATTGTTCTATATTGTCCATAGCTTATTAATTTTGATTTGATTAGTAGTTCTTGGGTCAAGTGCAATGTGTACATTATTTGATTGTTAAGAGAAAGGGTCTATTAATACTTAACACTAATCCCAGACACCTAAATTTTTGCATTGCTTTAAAAAATGAATTTTCTATGCTTTAATGGTTTCAACGGTACTTTCGAGTTTATAGATACATTTATATATGTTATAGTTTGCTTAAGACTACTGGAAAGGGTTTATGGCTCATTAGAAGGTTTTTTAATATCTTAAAAACTATAATATGTAGATAAATGAAATTTGGGATACAAAAAACTTGTACTATATTACTAAGGTTCAAAAAGTTTGGTGAATCTCTACCCACTGTAGGTCCCACCCTCCATGTAATTATTTAAAAAAAAAATTTTTTTTAAACAACAATTTTTGCTTCCATGAGACTACACTTATTCATTATATATATAAAAATACCACTTAAAATAAAATGCTAGTGATGTGCAAATTAGTTTTTAAATAATTTACGAGATTGTCCATTAGATTCAAAGCAATTTAATTTTTATTTCAAATTTGAATTATAAATTTCAAGCAAATCGGTTGAAAAACAACAAAGTTATCGCACATAATATCAGACGCATGTCCTGCAGTCCAACGATTGAAATTTAAGTCTGCTGTGCCCAATCCAGTAAAAGTAGGATCTCGCAAACTTCAACAATTATCGCAGGATTAGTCTTTAAAACATTGCATATAAGGTTCTATACCTATGAAAGGTTGAGGCTAATCGTTAAGCAACTGTTTGGACATTATCAGTGTGGCTTCAGAACTGGTAAATCCGCCATAGACCAGATATTCACACTATGTCAAATCCTAGAGCAGACCCAAGAAAAACAAATTTTTGTTAACGATTTTTGTTAACGAACTAATTTCCCGGATTTCGTGAAACCCACGTCACCGTTGTTGTCACTATAAGTTGGAGAGTGTAAGAGACTTTGTATATTTGAGAACCCACATTAACACGAAAAATTTCGTCAGTGTAGAAATTCAACGAAGAATCTCTTTTATCTAACAGATGTGACTTCAGGCTAAATTGGCAATTGAGAAATGAAGTTTTCTCTCGACAAAAAAAAAAACACCTTTACAAATCTCTTATATAATAATGCCTTTCTTGCTTTCTTTCGTGTGATACAGAAGCATGGACAATAACCTACAGTGATAAAAAAACATTAGAAACATACAAGAGAAAAATTATGCGACAGATTTATTGACACCTTCAAGGAACTCTATGAGCTATACCATTAATACCAACATTGTTAAGTGTATAAAATTAAACGGGCTCCCTGTCTGGATCATGTCTTACGAATGGCCGAAAGAGGTCCAGCTAGAAAGGTGTTTAATTTGGTACCCGTTGCTGGAAACTGCGGTTGAACCCGTCCCATCATCAGTGGAAGGACCATGTAACTAACGATATTACTGATCAAGCAAGTTACTGATTGAGCTATCAAGAGGAGGCTGCTGGAAACGACTCACGTTTGTAACGGCCAACTAAATTGTTAAGTAAGTAATATAATTTTTGTATTTCGAATTGTTTTTTTTTGTCAAATCTTTCGACAACATTAGCTCTGGTTTCATTTAAATAGATCTGTCAACTACTTTATAAAATTTTATATATTTCATTTCATAATTTAATTTGGTTTTAAATGGATATGATAATAACTCTTTAGATTGTTTCAAAATTGTAAGTCTTACAATTTTCTTCTCTTTTGTCTTTCGTGATCCTATAGCAAGGAAGTGTGGATCCTTTGCATATACCGCAACAAGATTCAGACAGTAGTGTTATTGTTGTAGTGAACGATTTGCCAGCAGGTTTATCAAATTGCTTATTTCTTAAAATCCTTACAATTCTCAATAGAACTCAATAGAGGCTGACTAATTCGGTAAAGAATAATTCGGACCAATGTTTTCAGAGCTCTTCTTCTTGGTTTTAATGTCAAATTTCATTTCATTTAAAATCGATGTAATATAACGATTTTGTTTGATTTTATTTAAAAACTTTTTGTATTCCTTATGTATTATGTATTCTTTAAGTTTATAGTTTTGTTTATTTTGATATAAACAAATAAATGTTAGCAAATATATATATTTTTATATATAATGATAAGTAATTAGCATAAATTCTCTACCAAAACAGGTTGAGGTATAAGCATTTCTATGGTTATCTATTTTTTTGCTGACTATAAAAGACGATGAACTGGCAGATCTTTGCTAATCAGAAATTACATCTCCGAGGAAAAACACCTTAAATAATCTAATAACAAAATGAAAACAATATTTTTGTTGAGTCTTGCCATAGTTGTGGTTACCGCGACAAGTGTGGTAAGTAAAAATTGTTTTGCCATTTTATTATTTAATAAAATAATGCAGAAAATAAAATAAAACAAAAAGGTTCAATAATTAAACATACCTTAAAATTATTAAAAATATATATAAATAATAATAAAATATTTAATTTGAATATATATATTTTGCACTTCGCAGCCAGCTCCAGGTAGTGTACAAACGTTAAATGGCGACGACATAAATTCTGCAAAAGAAGCTTTGGAATTGTCTTTAACTAAATTGGCCGCAGGCGAAGGTCCAAGTTATAAGTAAGTTCTTTATAGATTATATAATGTTTTATATATTATATAATATTGTTGATATAATTATTATTATTGATTGTGTGTTTGTTTCTTAGGCTCTCTAAAATTTTATCAGCAACATCTCAAGTAGTTTCTGGTATTGCCTATAAAATAAAGGCTGAACTAATTGATTCCAATGATGCTACAAAAATCTGCAATATCGGTATTTGGAGTCAATCTTGGTTGGAAAATGGAATCGAAGTTACTTTTGAATGTGATGGCGAGGAAAAATTAGTCCGAAAACATAGTGCTTAAGATAATTGTTATTAATCGAGGCTTTTGTTTTTAATAAAAAAAGTTTAAGAAAATATATGAGTAAAATAGTTATTTTTATTAAATAAAAACAAAATTAACTTTAATTTTCTTACATTAGTTACATTAGTAAATGACAGATATATATATATATATATATAAATTTAAAATCTTATTTTGAATTTCTTTTTACTTATTAATTGAGTCTAAAGATAACCTATTATTATTAAGTTTAATAGTTTACTTATAATGTAATGTCACTTAAATAGTTTCCTGCCTTTAGTTTATATCAGGGATAGAAAAAAGTAGTTATTTTAAAAATCTTCTAGAAACAGTCAGCAGTAAGAAGTTGTCTTAATTTTTATTTAGGTACATAGTTATCATTAAAACAACATCATTTAACAAAATTCATCCATTATAAAATGCATTCTCTTTTACACTCCGCTTCATTTCATTAGCACATTTGGATTCCAATTTCATTTATGAGTAGCAGATCATCATAATATTAATTTTTTTCGATTTATTTGTTAATTTTAAACACATTGTGACGATTTAAAGTAATAATGGGTCGTGATAAAGCATTAAACAAGGAAGAATAGGTCAAAATAAAAAGCTTCATTGATTCTGACCCCTCTATGACTGAAACATGAAAAAAAAAATCAGAAAAAGCAGAAAATGAATATACAATTCTATTCAAAATGTTCTTAATTATGTAAAAAATATTATAAGCCGTCTAAAAGCGTCCTCAGCTATGCAGATAAGGGTTTCAAAAACGCTCGGGTCTACGTACTAGAACCACGTCGACCAAGTACCGTTCAACACCTCCCAAAGTGATTTCACAAGCAGGTCCCTGCGGGTTACAACAACCACATGCAGATAAGCGGGTTTTGCAGCAAGCTTCGAATTCGCATGCACCACATAACCGTCTGTTTGTAGTATTAACACCCACAAATCCTTAAAATATTTTCTCTTTGTTTTTATATTATTTGTTCAGGAATGTTAGTGATGGTCCGTGCACAAAACCATTGAATATTCTTTTAATCCAAAGAATATTTTGGATTGAGAAACTCTCCTTTAATTTTATTTTATTTTTTAAAATATTTTATTTTATTTTTTAAAATATTTTATTTTATTTTTTAAAATATATACAGTGCACATTTATTTCAAATCTTCAATATAAATAATTTATATTTATTTTTATCCTATTGTTTCAAAATAAATTAATTAAAACTTACTCATATATTTTATATGAATATATTTTATGTTATACATTTTTCATATTTTTAATAAAGATTATACAAAAATCAGATGTAAGTAAATATTTAATAAAATAATTTACAAATATAACTTCTGGTACATATAATACATTAATTTAAATACATAAATATCAATATCGTACTTTTGCAAGTCCATAATTGGAATTCTTGGTCAATGTACATATGTTTATCCGCGTCCATAACTGGGACTTCATAATTTGTCGTGTGGCACCAGGATTCAATACAATTTCTACTAGTTTCTATCATTACATCCTCCGTCTTCTGTAGGTTTGTTCTTCATTTCGTTCTTGAAAATCATTTTTAAAGAATAAGAAAGCACCTAATACTGCTACTATACCGTATAGTAACTAAAATTTATATCCGTTATTGATATTTGTCAGAAATCTATTTTCAATTGCTTACATATCCACCTCCGTCAATGTTAATTATAATTGTATTTTTTTTTCCATTTATAACATGATCCATATTTGTTATTAAAAACAATATTTATATGATTTAAAATTTTAAATAAATTCCCAAGTGCTCAGACTGACCTCGATCTACCTTCTATTGCAGTTGACGACGTACTACAGAAACTTCTAGACATATGTTAAACCAAATAAGTTAGTAGAAAGAAGAGACACAAACACAGATATGCACATAACCACTAGGAAATTTTTTAAATCATAATAATATTCACAATAATAATATTCACAATAATAATAACTGTTTATTTTCAATTAAGGTCGTGTGCGAATTCGAGTAAATTGAGGTAAAGTAAATTGACATTTTCTGGGGATTTTTTGCACTGCACTTATATAAATATTTATATATTTAATTATTGCACTTATTAATTATTTTTGGTGAAAACTTTCCAAATTTATTTATGTATATATTAAACATCTTATAAAATTTTAAAAATCGGTACACCAAATTTACCTAATATTTATTTAATTTACCATACTCGAAATTCTGGTAAATACTAACATTCGCTACCATACCGACATTATTTACTATTTCCCTCAATTTACCATCAATTTACTCGAACTCGCACACGGTATAAGCAAAATAATTTATATACATAAATTTTATTTTTAAATTTATGTCGATAAGTTAACTTAAGTATATAGTATATTACTATACTAAAGTATATTACTATACTATAGTGTATTACTGTATATAGTCGAATAGCGATAATTCATACCCCGACAAATCGAAAACCTCAATAATTCGTAACAAACTAATTCGTGTTTTATTTGAAATAAACCTCAATAAACCTCTTATAATTCGTAATGCAGAATAAAAAATCTGTCTGCAAATTCAAGGTGCTTCAAGAACATTTCAAACTTTCCAATGCTTCACCGATACAATAAGAATGTGTGCATAATAAGTGATCTATTTATCGAATAGCTTTAGATGCATAATGATAGCATGAAAAATACATAAACATCGAAAGATACTGTTATTTATAGACGTAAAAATAAATTTTTTACCAGTAAACACTACTTCCAAGCTGCAGCCCCTTGACCAGGGTGTTATAAAAATTTTTAAATTATTTTACCGCAAGGAAATGGTTATTAATCTGGCTAATAGCATTGATAAAAAAAAAATTTTAATGTACGCTATTTACGACAATTCAAACTGCTTATAAAGCGTGAAATACTGTCAGTAGATCTTGCATTCGAAACTGCTACCGGGCTTGCGGTTTTAATAAAGATTGAAACGAAAATTTATGTCAAGTCGAACAATTCAACATAGATTATCTATGGGACCATATAGTTCTGTAGATTATATTGTAAGAACGATTATGTTGTCAAGAATTACATCAGATTCTTAGCCGTCTGTCTGTTAACAAAATTTTGGAAGAAGTTGTGGCTATTAATGAAAGAGCGATGAGGATGACAGCGCCGTTGGAGCATAACTTATAACGAATAAAAAAGCCAAATCGGCCATTTATGATGTCCAAAAAAATATTTTTAATAGAAGTTAAGTTTGGAAAAATCAATTGAAGAGATAGGCGACACAACAATTACAAACATTTTTAAACTTAAAATTTGATCTTTCTCTTTATAATTTTTTATGTTTTTATTTTCTTATTAAATTAATAGTACGTAGGATGTATATTGAATTATTTAGTTTTTATAAAGTGATATATGTATATAAAATATGTGAAAATCAACTAAAATGTAAAATCCCCCCTTAATTTGTAATTTCTTCTTTTTTAACCTCATTAAATCAAAAGCTCGATAATTTGAAAACGCCTCTAATTCGTAAAAAATGCTGTTCCCTTACGAATTCGAATCATCTGGATTCGACTGTACTTACTTGAATTGAAAATTATTACTTTATATACATAACCTTGGTTTTACATATATATGTAAGGAATTTTAATCGATATGTATTCATAATATATATAAGTTGTAACGACACTTTTTTGGTGACGTTCAAAAATATTTAGTTTTTGCTGGGGTATCCTCAGCCGTCGTCCAGAGTCATTACAATGAATTTATTTTTTTCGGGGGACGTAGGTTTAAAAAAAAAAAAAGAAAAGGAAACGTTCGTTTACTAGATTGAATTGTATAGTTTATTTACTTTGAAAGACAATATTCCAAAAGAAATTATTCCAACGTATGATAAAGTTATTTCAATTACAATGTGATTATAAATAAATTTATAGTTTATTTACTTTGAGAGACAATATTCCAAAAGTTTTTCCAACGTATGATAAAGTTATTTCCATTACAATGTGATTATAAATAAATTTATAGTTTATTTACTTTGAAAGACAATATTCCAAAAGTTATTCCAACGTATGATAAAGTTATTTCAATTACAATGTGATTATAAATAAATTTATAGTTTCTTTGCTTTGAAAGACAATATACCAAAAATTATTCCAACGTATGATAAAGTTATTTCAATTAAAATGTGATTTTAATTCAATAAAATAAGAACAAGAAATGTGCATCTTCTTTAGCTCAGGCTTCTGTTGTATTTCCTATCGTACTTGTCGATGAGATCTTCACTTGCAGTGGTTTCCCGAATTTCCTCCTCTGTTGCCTAAGACCGACTCCTTTTACACCTCTGTAAGTTGCTTTAATTTTACAATTTAAAATTGGAAAGGAAACTGATTACAAAACTATCCTAGAAGAAGAAAGATATAGTATAACTCGATATGTATTATTAAAAGAAGGTATATATATATGTTTCATAGACATATAATTATGGCCGTTGTCGTAACACCAACGCAGGACTTATATATTTCTGATATATGTTTCATGGACACATAATTATGGCCGTTGTCGTAACACCAACGCAGGACTTATATATTTCTGCTATATGTTTCATAGACATATAATTATGGCCGTTGTCGTAACACCAACGCAGGACTTATATATTTCTGATATATGTTTCATAGACATATAATTATGGCCGTTGTCGTAACACCAACGCAGGACTTATATATTTCTGCTATATGTTTCATAGACATATAATTATTATTATAATTTTTCGGCGTAATACCACCTTGACGAATGTTCATAGACTCGCCTCTGCTTCATAATTTCGCTGTCTTAAATACTCCTACGCCGGAGCTTTCGTCTAGCGTATTTTAAATTCTTCCGTTCGTTTACCTGCTGTGTTTTGCAGCGTAAACTGCTGTGCTTTTATTCTTGGCCGTGTAGCCGCTGTGCTTCTGATCTTGCCGTATTTCGCTGCGCTTTTGACTTTGTTTTCGTCGTGTTTTGTTTTGACAGTTTGTTATTTTAACACGCGTTTTAAATTCGTCAATAAACAATAATTTTTTGTTATATAAAATAAAATTATTAAAATTAAATTTAAATTATAAATTATATTAAATTAAATTTTAGTATTAAATTGTAGTATTAAATTATAGTATTAAATTATAATATAGTTTAAATTATTGTAAATAAATTAAATTAACCAAAATTTCAATTTTTGTGAAATTCAATTCTGTGTTAATTCAGTGCCTAGTTTTTTATGTAGGCGGAAATTTGGTGTCAAAATTTCCGTCCTTACAAAGTAGATATATTATTTTAAAAATAGCATTTATAAATTGTTTTCTAGTAACCTTAACTATTTACTGTAGTATGGTATATGATTTTGTTCTGCTTTTATGTACTTAATCCAATTAAAAATCATTTTCGATAACATTAGGTCTTAACTTCAAATTTTAAATCTGAACACCATTGATGATGGATATTTGAGAATACTCGAAGCAACTGTATGGGGTCAGACAAAAAATACAATTAATTATATAAAAATGTTTTTGGTTTTGCAATTTGCTACTGTTTGAGTCTTTCTATTATAAAATCTTATGCTCAATGATAAGCAATCTATTTTTCGAATAGAAAAAGAGATAAAACAGTTCTTAAATAAAACTAATTCTTAGTCGTGCTTCTTCTAGTCAATTGTATTCAGAGAATAGTTTTTAATTTTGATTCCAAAAATATTTAATACTTTTAGATACTAGGACTGTTCCACGAGCTACTCGTAGTAAAACTCAAATAAAGTACAAACTAAGAGCGTAACACAAATAAAGTGACAAATTACGCTCTTTACACAGATTTTCATGGAACAGCTTTGTATAAAGTCTGGTGAGAATACCAGTGCCGCGGAAATAAACAATACAAAAATTTAAATTCAAACCAAAATAGCTGATTCACACATCAGCATCACACATCAACAGCATTTTCAAACTTCGACAGGGATGTTATCTCGCTCAGATCCTTTCATTTACTTGAAAATTTGCTGGTGGAACGCACTTGTGTATACACAGTGTTACTCAAAGTTACTACGAATAGCTCTTGAAACACACCTATTATTTGATGCTTTAATTATTATTTTGATTTTTTAAAAATATTTTAAAAGTTGTAAGAAAAGGTTTCAATTCTGATTTCAAACAATCGACAAATATCCACCTATACTTTATCTAAAAATCATTAATAAAATATCATGCATCAACAAATATAGTTACTTTACCAAACTGTTCATACAATAATTTCGTAGAATTATTTGATAAAAATAGAAATCTAGTAAATCTAAAAACTGGAAACTCATTTATAATAAATTTGTATAATTAATAAAAAATTTCAGGTAAAACTACTTTTTGCATCCTAACCTGAACGTTAAAAGTCATTAGTTCTAAGATAGTATTAGTATTTAATAATACTAATAGTATTAATATTTATTTATTAAGATCGAAAAAACATTATTTGAGTGAGAAAAGATTATTATGTATGTCATATTTTAACTACTTTTCAATAATTTAAGCACTATGCTTAGAACATTATTTGAGTGAGAAAACATTATAATGTATGTCTTATTTTAACTACTTTTCAATAATTTAAGCATTATGCTTATAACATTATTTGAGTGAGAAAAGATTATAATGTATGTCATATTTTAACTACTTTTCAATAATTTAAGCACTATGCTTAGAACATTATTTGAGTGAGAAAACATTATAATGTATGTCTTATTTTAACTACTTTTCAATAATTTAAGCATTATGCTTATAACATTATTTGAGTGAGAAAAGATTATAATGTATGTCATATTTTAACTACTTTTCAATAATTTAAGCACTATGCTTAGAACATTATTTGAGTGAGAAAACATTATAATGTATGTCTTATTTTAACTACTTTCCAATAATTTAAGCACTCTGCTTATAACATTATTTGAGTGAGAAAAGATTATAATGTATGTCTTATTTTAACTACTTTTCAATAATTTAAGCACTATGCTTAAAACATTATTTGAGTGAGATAAGATTATAATATATGTCATATTTTAACTACTTTTCAATAATTTAAGCACTATGCTTAAAACATTATTTGAGTGAGAAAAGATTACAATGTATGTCTTATTTTAACTACTTTTCAATAATTTAAGCACTATGCTTAAAACATTATTTGAGTGAGAAAAGATTACAATGTATGTCAAATTTTAACTATTTTTTTTTAATATATTTTAAGCACTATGCTTCTTCACAACTTTTTCTTCTCCATCACATTCAAAAGTGACTTCAATGCCGTTCTCCAACCATGGCTGAGACCAAATTTTGACATCGCAAACCTTGGTGGAACTGTCATTGCCCACAAGTTTTGCTTTGATTTTGTAAAGAGAACCAGAAACCACTTGACGTGAAGCAGAGATGATTTCCTCAATTCTGTAGCAATAATGAAATATTTTATATTATATTATACAAAAATTTATAATTATTTAAATACTTATAATTGGGTCCATCGCCTGCAGCCAGTTTATTTAAAGAATTTTGTAATGTATTTTCGGCATCCTTCAAATCGTCACCTTGCAAATTCTTAGGACCTCCAATAACATGAAGCTGTAAATATAATATAAATTGTAAATAACATTTAATTAACATTATGCAAGAAAAAAAATTGATCATTTTGGAGGTGTATGACTTTACTTTAATGGTTTTACTATTTAAATTTAAAAAAGGTAATTAAATTTAAATTATCATCAGTTTAAATGTACTAATGTGAGTCGGCTACAAAACTCCTCACAGAGCATCCTCAACTTTAACAATGATTCCTGTATTAAAATCTTTAAATTTTGTCATGCAACACAATAGTCCAATAAAATCTTAGAATTGCGGTTATAAACTGGCCTTACCTAAGTTAAAAGGCCAACAATATTGACTTTACCGAAGTTATAATCCTTTTTTCAAAGCTTGACCAATAAGCAAGAAAAGGCGAATGAAACTATCTTCCACAAGAACTAATAGAATCACAATTGACGATGCTTTTTTTATTTGGATGAAGTCATATTTTAACAAACGGTTTTTACCTACTAAAATACTTTTTTTACTAGCTAAAATATACCTCTTATAGTTTTAAGTAAAGTATTCAAGGATATTGTTTCACATTAAAATAACATAGTCTAGTAAAATTGATCGAATAGTAGATCTATTATGGCAAATTTAAGATTATTTAATTGATGGCAATATATTATTATATTTCATTATATATTACATTATATATTATATTCTTCTTCTTATTTGGCACTACAGACCAGTGTGAACCTTGGCGTTCCTACAGGGTTGCGTAGCAAAAAAAACTTTCCGATCCAATGTTGTTGGCCTTGCGATCTATATATTATATTATTATTATATCTCTATCACTTTCTAGCCTAAACCATACAACTATTGTAAATATCATCATAATTGCTGAGATATAAAGCAAGTTCAGATAAAATATCAGATGCAATTACAATATTAGGTCGTGTGCGAGTTAGACTAAGTTGCGTTCTAAATGAGGGAAATTCTAAGTTGTGCCGATAATGTAGTGATGTGTCGATACGTCTTGATAAATGGCAAAATGTGTGCAGTGCAAAAAATCCCAAAAAATCTCCCATTTGGTTTAGCATCAACTTAGCCTAACTCGCACACGTCCTTAATCACTAAAATTATTGTTAATTATTTTAGAAATAGCGCAATGCCCACCTACAGTTTAATTCTATAATATAGGGAATTACAAATAATTGTTTTTAATACATACATACATATATTTTATGAACATATACATACATACATATATATTATGAAGATCATAATATAAAAAATTTAGAACTAGTTTGATGGAAATAAAAAGCTGCTTAACAAGTTTAAATTAATTGTTTATAATTACAATTACTCATTTTATACGATATCTAATGAAAAATTCACACAATTATAGACAGTTTATTTATTAAATTATAAATTTAAGCGTTATATTTACTTAAAATATTATTAGTTTGTAGATTAGTTATAAGTAAATTAAATTCATCAATTTAAGACAAGTCTATTTACAAAACTTTATTTAAATAGATTTGTCTTAGCATGAATGTAATTTACTAATAAATAATTTACAAACTATTTTAAATGAAGGAACTCTCAGTTGATGAACAGGTGGTCCCATATTTTGGTCATCAATTATGCAAAATGTTTATACATGGAAAGCCAATCCGGTTTGGGTATAAGTTGCGGTGTCTTTGTTCGGCAAGAAACTTGGTCTGGAAGCCGATTTATAACGCGATTACTAGAAAATGTTGTTTCGAAATCAGAATAAAGTATACCTAAAATATACTTCGAGCATTTTTTTACACCCTTCCACATCATGTGTGTTCTGTCTGAAAATGCAATATGTGCAACAGTCAATGTCAGAGCAAATGCCGGTGCATAACATATTCGCTTATAATGACATAGAAAGAACAAAAATTTTCTAGTGAAAACGCCCACTCTTCGATTAATCGAACACCACTTTTGTCCAAAACTAGAAATTGCAAAAAAATTTTTGACTTCATATTCGTGGTTTTTGACCCTAACATACCCAATGTATAAAATTTTGACCAAAAAACAAAAGAAATCCTTGGGCGTATAAGGGTTAATTGATATTTTTGTCGGCTTTTGTAGTCGATGGTATTGCACTGCATTTCCCATCCTTAACAGATTCACAACCACACCTAAACGCTTGTTTTTGATAAAATAATGTTGCGGAAACTCTTTGCAACGTATCCTTTGCAACAATCGGAAAACACAATCGGAAGGAGATGCACTCTCGACAACTTGAGAGTTAGTATACATATTAAATCTAAAAGGGTTCGTAATTAAATCGATAAATTCGGGACTTTTTGGTCAATTTTTATTGATACTGCGTTTTTAAAAAGGTTTCGAAATGTCGTCAATATTGTTATATAGAAATAAACTATATAAAATAAATCTTTATATCAGTTCAAGAAGCTTTATTTTAAAAAACTCAGGAAACCAATAAATGATGGTGGATATATAATAATATCCGACACATCCGGATTTGTGGTTCGGATATGCCACAGTTTTCGAATCAGTTTGGTTTCAAATACTTTTTTAACTCGTTTGACAAGTTTCTTTTTCAACACTAATGCATTTAACTTTTTAAATGTATATTGAATAATTAGTTATAGATTTAAATTAAGCCATGACAGCAACACAAAATTTTTTATCACTATTATCAACAAATGAAATCACAAAACAGGATATTTTCTTTAGTGTTGACATAAACACATTACCAACCATGACCTTTAACATTTTTGTTTTTATATTTTTAATTGAATCCATAGAAATTCCGGTATATAAGCATTTGTATATATAAGCACATAAATATTTATATTTATTTAGTAATTATTTTTTAAGTTTGATTTTTTCTTACATCATTCGGTTTAGCATAGGTGATTGCCACAAATAGGGCAAAGAAAGCAAAAACAATCTTCGGATTAAACATTTTGATTTAAAATCAACACCGTACCAAACTGCTTAGAGCAGCTCACAACACTGAGTGAAATTCTAATGGAATGCATTCATTTATATTTGCTTCTGTACAAATACGAGAGCAATTTATAAGCCTACATATTTATGCAACGAGTGATGCCACCACTGACAATCGTATTAGGGTTGCCAAAGTACACTATTTAAAATAATTTGTGTAATATATCGAATGAAATACATATAAAAAAAAGATTATTATTTGTATTGTTAATTTAAAAATTCATATTTATACTATGTTCAGACAGCCAAATTTCCTTAATTTCATAAAAATGAAATTAAGTTAATTTAGAAAGTGTTCATCAAGTGCCCTAAAATTAAATCATATGATTTTTAATTACAATTGTTAGAAATTATATGCTCCAAACACCATTTGTATCTGGGAAATTTTTAATAATAATTAATAAGTTGATTATTATAACTATGAAGGAGGTAATTCGGTATTTTTATTAACTTTAGTAGATTTCATGTACGTGGGTTAGTATTTTTCACTCTATTTAATTAATAACAGTTATTCTCTATATTCAAATTCAAAAATGTCCACTATTTTCAAAACATTTTTCAGGTTTTATTAAAGTCAACTGCGACTGACATTTATTTCAAAAAAAATGTGACTTTTTCGTTATCTCAACTTAATCTTTTTCTTGATTTCAGCCTTCGTTTCAAAGAAATTAAGACCATTTTCCTTAATTTTGATTTAACCTTAAAACTGAATTTTGTGTGAAAAAACAACTTAATATGGCGTTTACATTGGCCGAAAATGGCTCATTTTGGTCAAAAATCGAAAATGAGTAGCGAATGGCGCATTCTTGCATATAAAATTTCAAGCGCGAAAATGAGCATTTTTCTCACATTCTGTATGAAAGACGTTCGAATGCATTCCACATATGTTCCAAATGCAAGGGAATCCATTGAACATACCCTAAATAAAAGCTTTTCATGGCATTTTCACAGTTTGAGAAAGCTGTTTTTGACATATTTACAAAAAAAGGTAAACAAATGTTTGGTGGTTGCATTTTCTTGAAAACGATGCACCTCTTTTTAGAATTTCTACTTCCCAAAAGGTAATTAATCGAAGTTAAAAATATGTTTTAAGTTTATATTGTAAGGTTTGAAAGCATATTTAATCTTCATGCAATATTTTTTTGGCACAGGCCAAAATCAAATCAACAAGCAAGTTGAAAAATCAGCTGTTTGAAATGAGAACAAACGAATTACAACGAATGTAAACACTTTCAAATGGCTCATTCAAAATGAGCCATTTTCGGCCAATGTAAACGCCATATAATATTGCCAAAACGAAGATGAAATTAAAATTTTTGAGATTTTATGCAACTATTTTTATTTTCTTTTTCGATAGTATGGAAAATTAAGTTGGTATTATGATTATGACTCCTGGTAAAGTATCATTACGGTATGAATAAGATGAAATCAACTTATCGTTAAATATAAGAAGAAATGATAGTTGGGATAATGTATGTGCTTGTAGTTAATTGAGTCTTGAAGCACTATTTATGCTAAAGCATTCGAAGGTGTTATGATTGAGCGGACAAGTCACCGAATTAATTGGAAATACATTTGCAAGATGTTGTTCTATTAATTGTAACAAAATTTATTGATTCGCACGTTTAGTAGGTTGTGTCGACGCAGAGCATTTATGGACACAATTAAATATATAACTATCGTACTTAACTCATTTTTGGGTTTATATAGATAAACCAAACCCAAATGCAGTGTTTAATTACATTTTGTCATATAAAATCCAAACAAATTTTATGCAAAGATATGTGATGTAAGCGCGGAGTTTTTGTTTAATCTTATAAACTTAGTAAATACTATGTATTTCAAAAATGATGGATAATATCATTTTGGAACATGGGGCATTTATAGTCAGTGTATCAAACTTCTTAATCTACGTTATTTACTATACCATAACACTAATTATATTAAAATGTTCTCATAATAAAATAATTTCAATCATTCAAATTACTGACACACTTAATTGCTCAAAGTCAAACTCTCCGAAAACTCTTCAATGCGCCATGGTATATCCGCACGAATGACATGCTAAGAGACAAACTCTCCGAGAACTCTTCAAAGTGCCATGGTATATCCGCACGAATGACATGCTAATCTGAGAGCAGTCATAAGCCGTACGCAGCGGTATGCAGATCTTAGATCAGTCATCGCATAATCAGAGAAGCTTGTGACGAATATGTAAATTAGTCAAAGAGAAGGGAGAGACTCTGTAGAAAGCCCTTAGCTAAGAAAGAGTAAAAGTGCCCAGTTGCACTAACTTTTTTGTTATTATCATTTAATTTAACCCATCTTGAATTGCCTTTTCATAGCATTCATGGTCATTAGATCAATCTCAATAGCACAAATTATTCAAATTAATGACTCACATTTTTAATGATATTTATTCTACCCATCAGGCAGCATCGCAAATGTCTGTATATATTATCTCTCATAAAAACAATAGAACTTTCAAAGCACAGTACGAGTATAAACATTGTTTTCTAATGCATCGATATGCGGATTAGCATTTTTAATTTTTTTTTATCTGAACATTAGCAGAAAAAATAAACTTTTATTTATTTACTATAATGAATATAATTAAGATTTATGTACATTTGTGTATATATGATACAACTGTTTTTAATTTTTGTTGTCAATTAGTATTTGTCATAAATTAATCATCGGATCGCATCTCTCTGTTTGTATTTTTTATTTGCTTAAGCTATTACGATTTTTAGGATTACTATTTTAAGTAAATTTAAAGTTCAAGGTCTTTCACTCTTAGATAGAGTCAAGTATCTAATGTTATATTATATATATAGTTTAATAGGAGAATCTGACTGTAAGATAAATATAGTTTGGGATCTGCCCCCAATGTGATACCTATTAACATTATGTAGGTATGTATAAAGATATACATACACAGCGACTGTTTGTCCCTATTATCGAAAAAAGTTGTCTCTGTTAATGGATGAAATGTACTTTAAAAAAATCTTCTGAGATCTGTTTGTATAGAGACTATAATTACTATAAGATCTTTAACTATTATGGTTATAAATGTATATTTTCAAATCGCTTTTTATCGAATTTATTAATTAAATTCTTCCTTAGTTAATTTAAAGTCTTATGTCTTTATCGTATTAGATCTTATCAGTATTCAAATAATAGGACCTTTTATCGTCTGTAATTCACTTATGTAGCGACCAATCTCATTATATGTGAGTAATGTGTGTTATGTTCTATAGTATTTCGACTATTGTACTTAAATTAACATGAATGCAGCAATGTGTGCCCTTACTCTTACAAAATCTATATAAAAATATGCTCAGGAGGTTCGATAAGTCTGGACGTTAACAATAGCATAAGAGTGAATTATTAAAGGTTCTGAAAATAATCAGATAGTATATATGTATATAGAGAACAATATTAAGTAGTGAATTTTTTTTACATAATAATAATTTAATAACTGAACTGATAAGGCAGTTCAGTATACTTAAGGTTACATATCAAAAGATATATCATTACTTATAATGACTTTAGTCTTATAACTTTAAGGGTTCTACATTAAGAAATTAAAATATGAAACTGAAATGATACTGGAAACAAAGGCACTTAACAAGTTGGTAGGAGTAATTGGTCGGAATAAAAAATTTTATTATTAATTTTTTGAACGGATGTAGTTACAACCTTCTCAAGCACTTATGTTTTACTTAGTAACTACTGCTTAGGTTATATATATAATTTCCCATATTTGCTAGGAATAGTTAAATCAAAAACACTTTTTTGCACCCTCTCGGACATTTTGTGTTCTATCTTTATTTACAGTACTAACAGGGCACTGTAAATTAAAATATTACCTGACGAGACTGGGCATACATACGGATGTAAACTGTAGATTCTGCGAAGAGAATAAGAAGTTGGCCACGCAATTACTGTTAGAATGCTCTGCGCTAAGGCACAAACGCAATAGACTCCTGGGAATGTATATTCTTACGGAAGAGGCAATAAAACTCTGTAAAGTAGGTTCTATACTACTTTTTATTCACGCAACAGGGCTTAAAGACCTACTTTAAACCTAGAAGGGGTCACAATACACCTGACCTCGCAATTCCCAATTTCTTAACAATAATAATAATTATTTACAATAGTAAATAGATCAATATATTGCATTACGAATTTCTCAAACTTACTACAAAAGTAGATATATTTTCTATATAGATATAGATATAGATTAGATTCTATAGATAGATATAGATTTTATTGTAATTAAACAATTTTAAATATTCATACAGAGTTCATCCACAGATTTTTTTTCTGTTTTATTCCATATTTTTAGTGCACTTGTTTTTGTTCTATTCTTTTTCAATGTTTTTTATTTCATTAGTGCTTTATATTGGTGGTTTGACTTCTGCTTATTTTAATATAGAGATATGTGTGTGTAAGTGAAGTGAAGGGTTTTGCTTTATAATTAATTAGGGCAATTCATATGGATTGCGATATATATATTCTATGTATGATTTAATTGCTTTATTTATTTGTGGTATGTTGAGAACTCTCATTTTTTATTTAATTATATTATATACACCCATATATATATATGTTCACTTTCTGTAATTTTTTGTGCTATAAAAATGGATTGATATCACTGTTTTATTATTTTTAAAGAAATTTAAACTCAGTTGGAATTCACATAGTGTGGTTTTTAATAACTCATTAGCTTATCTAGGGGTATTGTATTATTTTTTACAATTTATGAAATCAAATGTATAATATTAAGAACAGAACAATATTAATTTATATTTATTTTTGAGAGATTATGCTATATGTGTACAGTTGAGTATTAGCTTTTTTTATGACTATGCAGAATAAGATCTTTTGAACAGAAACTGATGAGATCAGCATTTCTGTCCGACTAAACAAACTGACTGTTGAAAAAAAAAAAATATGTATAGAAAAAGAAAACTGGGGCTTTAACAACATTTCACTGTTAACTTAGAT